GTTCTTTATTATTGTTAAATTAATGGTTTTGCATTATTTGCTTCCAATATCTACTTGATAAACTTATATATACATCATGAAGCCTCTTCTCTAAATTTTTGTGTACATACAAAAAAATTTTTTCCACTTTTTTAGTAGTTAATAATTACAAAGTAATTCAATCAATCAAGAGCAAAAAACGGACATTTAATTTGAGTAACGTAATATCACTATGCCAAAATCTGAAAGAGTAAAAAACAGTAAAAGAAAATCTGAAAATTACCTTGGTTCAGCAAACAAGTAAGTGTTTATTAATTATTATTAAAAGGAAAGGTGGTGGTAGTTACAACATGTCGTCATTCTAGCTATTATTTAAGAAATGTTCTAGTTTACTAAGATTTTGACTTTTATCAGCTTGTCGTCATCATCGTCCACATCCACGTAAGTGTTGTCAGAATGTGTTTTTTAAAGGTGGTGACTGCTGTTGCTGTTGCTGCCACTCTAGTTTTTAAAATAAATAAATAAAAAAGACATACTTATAGTGTTTCATTCATCATCATTCTTTTTTTCTTTTCATTTTGTAGATTCAAAATGTCACAAGGAACGAGAAAAAGAGCCAGAGAAAACAAAATAACTGGAAGTGGGTAAGTGTTTTAAGGATGGGTGGTGGTGGTTATTGCCCGCCACTCATCATCACTCTAGTCAATGTTAAGTTAATTATTAAAAAGAATGGTGATGGTGGTTATAATGCGTTACAACTCATCATTCTAGCTCTAGTTTAAAGATTGAGATTATTAACTGTTATTGTTTTTATTAAATCATTACTTCTTTCAAGTTCCAGTAAAGAGAATATTAATATATCTGAACTTGTAAAAAAATTCGAATCAATGGAAGATAAACATAAATGGATATTATGCTCAGGCCAATTCATGGAGAATATTCTATTTTCATATGCAAGTAAAATTGATGACTCCGAGCTGTAAGTTATGATTGCATTATCAATCTTACTTTGTTTCTTGTCTCAGAAACTAAAATGTTTTTTAAATAGTCTTTCACATTCATTTGTCGTTGACATTGATGATCCTAAGATGAAGGAAATTTTTACAGAAGAAGAATTTAATGAAATAAAAAGTACAAATGTAAAATCTGATCCAGAGATTAGTGAAATGTTTAAGGCTGAATTAAACAATCTGTGTAAGGTAAACTATTGAAAAACAATGACAACCTAATTAGATAATTTAAATTCATAATATCTGCTTTGCTTTAGTCTACTACTATAGAAATTTGGGACGCATTGAATAAGTTGCATAAAAAAATTAACACTTCAAATGAAGCTGACAAGTTTTTGCTGGATACGCTCTATTATGCAGTTCATACTTTGTAAATATGGTTATTCTCTTATTATTTATATAGGAAATTTCAAACTTATTGGCTATCTTTCCAATATATTAGAGTCCATCAATATGAACGAGAACCAAATCCATTTACGTTGGACCATCATGAAAATTGGTATAATACAAATTTATGGGCTCCTATTATCAACAGATGCTTTGACAATGTTAAAAATTTAGAAATCATAAGGTAATTTAAATCTCTTGTTGTTGGTTAATTGCTAGAATTTGTGGAATTGAAACTGTCATCCAAGAGATTTCTAGATTTTGTTAATGGCTTTGAAGTTTACAAATAATCCAATTCTAGATTATTTGATCCAAACTAAATAGCAAAGTTTCAATTTCATCAACCTTGGTAGCTATCCTATGTTTTTATAATTAACCTTAACAATTAATCTTATTAGAGGCGAAGCTTGTTTGTTTGCTAGTTCTGAACATAAAAATAGTTCTCAACAAAATAGTGATGCTAGAAAAAAAATGGGATCAAGGATGGATTTTATTGTGAGATTGTAAATGAGGACTGAGGAAGTCCCGAGCATTTCGATCAATCAGAACCAACTTACTGCGACAGTCACGTGATAATTACATCATTTTCTATTTATATTTTAATATTTTGTATAACAACTACGCCACACATTGCGCAGTGTTACACATGTAGATCATTATGTCATTTCTATTTTTAACTTATTTTATGATATAATTATTTATTTCGAATTATTAATTCAATTATTTGTAATAATGACTCATAAGATTACTCATTATGAGTCATAGCATTAGTAATTTATGATTAGTAAGCTAGTATTACAGAAAATAGGATTAATAAGCATATTTTATTGGACAAAACATTGTAAAGGTCATGTTATTTGTAATACCTCAAGAGGTATAAAAGAGCTTGGGTTTAGACCAAGTGAGAATCATCATGTTCATGATACAATCATAATAATCATATAATAATAACCTTGTAATAATATTATCGCTAATAAAAGACACATAACACCTTTACAATAAATTAAACTCTTAATAAAACCTTTCCAAAACCTTGCTGAAAAGCATACCTCACCTTAAATTAAGACCATACTAACTAAGGGGCGCCTTACTCAGACAGTGGAATTTTATTTATTATTGCTAGGCTTTTGCCAGCAGGTACTTCTATTAGTACTGCCAAGAAAGATTGCGCAATAGAGTTTTGAGTAGGCTCTTAGCTGTGTGCGGAGATAGAGGCCTAGATTTGAGAACCCTTAGCTGTGTGCGGAGATAGGGAGATTTATATATTGGACTTTTATTATTCTATCTTATATGTTTATTGGACACAACCTGAGCTGTAATAGAATTTACATGCTCGCATTATAATACAATCACTTGGAAAAGGAAAAATTATGGAATTTGGAGGATAAGAAGTTGGAAAATTTTTTCAAGGTGAACATGGCACAAAATGGTTGGCAGAATCAGGGTTAAAACTACCAAAATCATTAAGAGATATGTTAGTAGAATTAAACAAGCAAGTGATTGATATTTCAGAGAAAATTGAAATGGTTGGCTTTGTTAAAGGGGGTATGTGATGTATTATAAATTTTTTATTTGTATAATTCTATAATAAATTTCATATATTTCTATATAGGATTATCATTGATGTTACTATTTATTGACAATCCAAGAGGATATATCTGCCGACTTACACAAAGTGTTGTTTATGAAATCCCAGTTGATATCATCAACTTTCATAAAGCACTTGATTTGATTGGTGCAGTATGGATTGCAAAAGTATGTTTCACATTTTGTATTTGTTATGCATCATATTTTTGATGTTTATAATCAATAATTGATTTTAGTTAAAGATTTTAAGGACCATTAAGTTAACTCAGCAGCCCAAAACAAACTTGGATATAGTAATAAGAAGGAAAGAAGAACAGGGAGCAAAATCATTATTAGATTCAATGACTTCACCAATTCATAAATGATTATTTTTTTTCTTATAAATTTTCTAATTCTTTATACTTCAGATTATTAGTTGTGAAAATTTATTAATTAAATATTTGTCTCTAAAAACCAATTGCTAATAAAAATACAAATTAATTATTTTGTCTAAACAAATATCATGATAACATTACATTGTGATATTAAACAAACAAACACTATTGATCCCTGAAATCTTTGGCAATACCAATGTTCACTTTGTCTGGTTTTGTTGCAGCATGCCCCATATAAATAGTGGTAATTTGGGAGATATAGATATTTTGTTGATTGAGGATGAAGATGGGGGTGACAATGAAAATGAAAATTATGAAAGTGAAATTGAGAATGAATATTGGGATGCATATTATTTTGATGAATGAATTATAATTTGATTTTTTATAATAAAATTGACTTTCTTAGCTTTACAAATCTTTCCATTTTTATACTTAGTGCTACGTATGACTGTTATATAACTGTTATATAACAAAAACGTTATATAACACTGTTATATTGTTATAAAAAAATTTATAACATGTTATATTACATCACTAATTCTATTGCGTAGCAATACAATAAAGATCAATACTTTCAGGTAACAACACTTATGGTAAAGGGATTTTAGAAAAAAAAAATTTAATTATAATAAAAATTTTTTATTTAATTGAAAAACTCTAATTTTTGTTATTTCTTTAGTAGTCAATTTTTCATCACGTTATATTTATCTACAATTCAAATGCACCGCGCGAATCAATTTCATTGCTCCTAAATGATAAATTTCTATTTACCATATAGGACATGGCGTTGGTTGGCATTATTGAGAGAATATCAAATGAAAAGGAACCATCATCATCACCGTTGGCTTTTCTTGTTGATTTTGTTGTTGTTTATCAATAAAAGAAGTCTTTAGCTGATTCACAAGTTGTCACAATAATGGCGTAGTTGATTATTAGATTAAATTGTTTAAGGATATTATAATTAATACTTTTTGTGGTTGAATTATTTTGTGAATATTTACCAAATGACTGATTGAATTACTACGTTGGATATTTTTTTATTATATATATACACCTTCCGGACAGCCTAGAAAAATTGGTACTTTTATTTGACAAATTCGATATGTCCCGTATTCACCATAATCATCATTAAAGTAATTCCGGATAAAACTATCTTTAGGCCTATTTGGACGTGATTCTAATGAAGGGCTCAGATTTATTTATGGATTATCAATATATAATATTATATTATTATCTGAAGGAATTTAAATATTACTAATACTCGAAAGTATTACGAATCGACAGAAACCAATTTCAAATATTTCGAATTTGTATATTTTAATATAATCACTAACTGCACGATTTCGTTGCTTCAATTATTTTCAGTGGTCTGCAAAATCGTGATTTTATAAAAAAATAACATTAAATTTCAAGCTGGCTCAAGGGCTTAGCTTGGCTTGAGTTTTCGAGCTTGAGCCAAGTTAAAGCCAGCACTTTTTTACACGTGAGTTGGCTCAAACTCGCATAAGCTCGGCTTTACAATTGAAACAACTGGTACTGGAGTTAATTCTCATAAAAAGGCCATGTTTGAAGAGGTGGCGAGTGGTAAGATGGGAGCAGTATAGAAGATATTGCATTGTTGGAAATGACTAATGGTGTTTCCAACAGACTAAGCTTGCACAATTATCAAGGCAAAATAATCAGTGTCAAAGTACATGGTGTTGTTGAGTGTATCAACCAATCATGTATTTCGTTCAAGTGTGGCTACACTATAAAGCCTCCAGATCCTCATTCAGTGACTGCCATTGCTATTGCTAGTGTGCTCAGACTGCTATCGGCTTCTCACCACACTTCTCAAGAATCTATACATCTACACAAACCACCAACACCAGTTCAATATATACCAGATATAATTGTTTGTTGAAATTGTTTTTGAAAAAAAAATGATTAAAGCAATCATTTCAGCTTTTCAATATTCTTAATATGAATAAACATTAAAATAATTATGTTATTTGATTTGTTTTAGATTAAAGAATTTAAATAATTTCAGATATAATTTCGGCGTTTTGGAAAAGATCTGATGGGAGTCTCTCCTGGATAGGGGATTTAACAAAATAGCTGGTAATTCATTACACATTTTTCACTTGTTATATATATAAAAATTTGCAAGTTAAGAATTAATAATAATTTAAAGATTTTTATAGGTCAGTAGGGTAATTTTAGACTAATTTATATAAAATACAGCATTAATATATTTTATAAGTGTTTTGCAACAATATACCAAGTTTTATGGCTGCATTCACACGCCAATACCTAATTTGTTGGGAATGCTAGGAAAGTTTTTTAAGAAAATAAAAAGATTATTACTGACCAATACAAATCTATTCCCATCAAATTAACACTATAAAACTGCACATAATAGATCCATCTATTCATGCCACCTTTATTCTGGGGTCCTATTATATATAGTAATTCAGTTTTTCCCATGAATAAATAATATTCTTGATATAAAGCATATGACCTATTCATTTGCATGATTTAATTTTCTAAAGACAAATCAACACATTTTTATGTATTTATTAAATGAAAGGTTGAATTAATTGAAATATTGTATGTATTTTCAAGCCTTATCAACAGTTTAATTTTAGTATACTTTGATCTCTGTTATTTGAAATGTATATGATTTTTTATTATTGTGTGAAGAATTAAAAAGAATTAATATTAATATTAATATTTTTATAAAATAATTCAATTTAACCTTCCAATATTGTAAGTTGTCATGTAGAATTAACGAACACACACATAAAATAAAATCGCCATCATATCTTATTTATATATTTTTATAGATTTGTAAAATGTTATGAAGTAGTGGTGTTAGTAAGTGATGCCAATTCTTCTTCTGCTACTTTCTTCTCCTCCTCAATTTTATGAAGTCTCTCTTCAATTGATTTCTATATTAAGGAATATACATATATATTATTTATGAAGGAAAAAATGAAGACAACAATGACAATGATTATTAAATAACTCACAAGCTCATTATTCACATCAAATTCTCTGTATTTATAATGGAGAATACGCAATTCTAAAAATTCTAATTTTTTTTTATCTACTTCATCAAGCTTTTCTTTTTCTTTTTCTTTTTCTTTTTCTTCAACCTGATTTATTTATTATGAAATTATATTAATGGTTAATGAATATATATATATATACACACACATGTATGTTAATCATCCATTATATTTCTAACTCTCTCTCACCTTCTTCTTTATATCAACAGAAGCAATAGCAAGTAGATCACGTATCCTTTTTGTTTCATTGTATCTATTGGTTATTTCTTCTAATTTCTTTTTTGTCAACAGCTTGGCTTTATGCTAAATAAATAAATAGCTATGATTAGATGAAATAAATACATACACATACAACAAACATACAAATAAGAATAATATATTTACATTTTTATCTTCAATTAACTCTACGGCCTGCAATAACATGCTGATGTTATCCATTATAGTCCTCTCTTCAAAATCGTGTTGTATTTGAATGGCATCTAATCGTTGTGGATGCCTGACAAGTACAGATGGTGTAGTTTCTTTAATATGTGGTGTAAACACATATTCATTTGCAGGATATGAAGGGTATTTTTCTTGCACTTTTATTATTATTGTATAACGAAGACCATAAAAATTAATAAATAGTAATCTTATTATTATAAATATTTGTGGGAAAAATTGTTTTTACCAGGTAATGATTTAATTTGTTCTTCGTCAAGATTTATTTTTACTTTTTTTTGCTTTGGTATTTTATAAGAATCAATTGAGGAAGCGTAGTTATTATTTTTTTTGTTAGTTCTTTTAGCAGCAGCTGCAGATCGTTTTCTTTTGTTTTTGTTAGAATGCTTGGCATTAACTGCTTTAACAATTTCTGGTGATAAAATGTTTGTTGGAAGATTGAAATTGGATTTTTTAACACTATTGAAATTAATTAATTTAAAGTATTTTGGGTAAAAAGGGATATCTAAGTTACGAAGTGATGCCATCGTCAGTTAACATCAATACACGAAATATTAATTCATAGCATGACATTTCCTGCAGATCTATAGTAATCAAAATCCACACCTTAAAGAACATCTTCATTATGTATGTTCTGTAATTCTTACAAGAGAAGGTCATTCATTATCTTGCCTTGGTGTTAAATTAGCAAGATAAAATATTCAAATCAGTTATACAGTCTGAAAAAGAAAATAACAGAGATGTTAATAAATAATTTTATAGAAGAGCAAATAATGATCGTCACGAAAAGATAAGTTGTGGGAACTTGTAAAAGATCTTGTTCAATGGTTTGAGTCACTATGCACTCATTGTGTGGAACTTGTAATGAATTAACTAACACCTGAAGGAGTGGAAAAATTAATTGATTCTATAACATTATAATTGAAGGAATGAACGTCAGGAAGTGCATAAAACAGAAAAACCAGCACTATAGGAAGAAGGACAAAAAATATTAATACATACAATTACAAAGGTATTATGGACATAAGAAATGAAAGTAAAGCAAGAGGTAGAAGAAGATCAAGCAAGAGGTAGTATTAGTAAAGTAGTGTTAGTACAAGAAACAGGGGGATGGAGATTCTGAAAATCGGTTAAGCATAAGAAATCCTTAGAAAAAACTAATTGTATTTTATTTAATATAGAAAATATTACAGAAATATTTGAATTCTCTCTTCCCTATAAATAATAATTAAATAATTAGAATTGGCAATGTCTGGAAATTTTTGTTTCACAAAATTGATATCCATGATAAATATAACAACCTTTAAGGGGAGTTAATTATCATTTGATTAAAATCAAGCCTTTTCCAAAAATGTGAAGAAATATTTCCCCACCACTAAAAAATTTGGAATTGTTAAAGAAAAATCAATTAAGCTTTTTTTGAAAAAGATTCTTTCCTGCTACTAAAAAAACTAATAAGAAACTAGTAAAACATCAATTTGGAATTATTAATTATTAATTAAGGAAATCAACCAAAAAGCTTTTTTTAAAAAGATCCAATATTAAAAATGATCATGTCTTTTTTGAAAATGTGAAATTAATTAATTCATTATTATTATTATTATTGACGCATGAGAAAAAAAAATTATTGTTAAAGGAATTGACAAAGCTTTCTTCAAAAAAGGTTGCTTATTCTATTTGATGAAAAAATATGCAATGGGAACTATTGGAATAGTGACGAAGAGAATGTTGGAGGTGAGCTTTCCTATCTTGGCCAGTTATTGTCAAAGAGAAACATCTTATTTTGAAGTTTATGGTAAGGGAGCATCAAGGAATCAATTTCCTCTTCAGAGTGCATTTGCTCTTACTGTTCATAAAACTCAAGGATTGACCCTGCCACACGTAACATTGAGCGTTGACGAAAGTATGTTTGCTGAAGGACAAGTGTTATGTTGCAATGGTTGCAAAAACTAACAACGTTGTAAAAGAAAATATGCCTGTAAAAGTGGATGTATTAAATTTTCTGAAAAACTCCACGTTGATGCCTGTGTAATGTGATAATTAACACGAAACTCGCTTCAATCTATTAATATTAAGGGTAGGGTTAATCACGTGATAATTTAATAGTAAATCTGGGGAATAAAAAGATAATAACAGAAGTAATTAGATAGAAACCAATTTATTTTATTGAAAAAAAACTTTATCATTGTAATAAAAATACCTGAATAATGGTTTTTTTTCCAAGTCAAGAATCCAAGGTTTCAAAGATTATTATAGCCATTATATTTTTCACATACCATAAATTTATAACGCACTAAATCTAACCAAAATTTTCCTAAACTATATAAGCTCTTTCATGTAATTTGTTAACATATCTAATCATATAAAATCCATGTTTACGTAAAGCACATCGTCCACAAGCAGACCCAGCAGGCTTTCCACAATCACTACAAGGAATACGTTTTTTACTTTTATAATGATGTTGACAACCTTCAGGTCTAATACAAGGGCTATTACAAGTTTCACCAGAATTGTGAAGATAATTACATGTATATTCGGCTTTCATTTTGAAAAAAGGTTATACAGATATTCATATATTTTTTTTTATATGTTTAATAAAAATTAACACTAACTATTAATTAACGAATAAAAATTTAAATTGAACAAAGTATACAAAAAGAACGTTTCAGTTAGATTTATTATTTCCTTAAAATGTCTGAAGTATACCTAGAATACGTTGAAGAATTTAGTATTGAGATAGCAGATTTTTGCCCAATTAGCCCAACATGTAAAATGCCTTTACCGGAAACAATGCCAAAACGAAATAATGGAGTTATAAATATACAGAATAATGATGAATGGTGCTTTGGATGGAGTATTCTAGGAGCATTACACCCAGTTAAAGTTCACCCTGAGAGAAACCCGCATCTGTTATATGGTAAATATATTGATGAGCGAAATATGTTAGATATTCCAATTCCAGTACCAGTATCTACACCTGTTTATAAAAAATTTGAAGAAAATAATCCGGAAATAAGCCTATATATTTCCGAAAGAAGAGGTTCAGAATTTAAGGAAATTAATTTACTAGTTATTCTTGAAGAAGAAATTCATAATATAGAAGCAAATCCACGCTCACATTATTGTATTATTAAAGATATCCATATAATCATAGTAAACATAAAGAAAGAAAATATACGATGCAGAAATCAGGTGTAGGATTTTGGATGACAAATTCCAAAATTATAGGCATTGCTAGAGGTGCTGAAGAAATGATATGTTCTCATTCTTATCCAATAGTTAACGGATTACCGGTTGTAACAGGTTAACGTTGTCACAGGACATTTCCCGCCGATCTATAGTTGTTACATAGTGAAATTTTATAATAGAATGTCTTCACACCCTCGTTTGATACCCTTGCTGTGTAGCAACCACCACCAAATTTGAGATATAACTTCACTATCATATGTATCTGCTTTATGAAAATTTTTAAGGCAGGTCGTTAATAAAACCGAAAATAATCTGACACTCAAAGTCAAATTTTGCCTTTATACTCATATATGCAGAAACTGGTTTGGCGCGTCCAATTGCAAACAAAAGTAGAAACAAATGCCCAAATATTACATTATTATGAATATTTACAGACTCTTGATCACTTAGGTATGTCTTTTATAGTAAAGTCATTTATTTTAAAAATCAATAATATTAAAAAGATAATATTATATAAATATGGTTTATGGTTTTTTATAAATAGACATTAAAAATTCCTTTTATGTTTTATTCCTACAATGATAAATGTAGTATAAGCAAGCAACTATAGTGATACCAGGAAAAGGAGAAGAGAGATGCAAAAATGTTGGTTTTTTGTATATTAATCAAACCAAGAAATTTTAATGTGAGTGGTTAACTGTCAACGATCTTTAAAGTCTACATAATAACAACACACAATTTTTTTTAATATGGTAATGATGGAACTTTGGCCTTTAAATGAATATAAGATCGTCGACTTACCTCAAGAATTGGTAGAATTACGAATTTTTAAAATTTTGGATTCAAATCAGTTGCGAAGGTTTAAAAAAATCAAAAACAATTTTTTTGTACATCAATGAACGATAATCATGTATAAGCATAACATATAGGTTAAGAAGTAAGACTACAAAGGTTTATTTCAATCAATTGAATTTTGGTTAAGATTAAATCAAATGATAATGATTAATTTAATTTAGGTGTAGATTGTTAATATTTTAAATTGTCAACGATCTTTAAAGTTTACATAATAACAACATACAATTTTTTAGTATGATTAATGTTGGAACTTTGGCTTTTAAATGAATATAAGATCGTCAACTTAACTCAAGAATTGGTAGAATTACGAATTTTTAAAATTTTGGATTCAAATCAGTTGCGAAGGTAAAAACAATTTTTTTATACATCAATGGATAATAATAAAGCAACAACACTTGTTATAATTTTGTTCAATGATCAATTTATTGATGAAAAATTAAAAAAATTTTTAAAAAAATAAAATTTTTAAAAAAACAAAATTTTTAAAAAAACAATTTTTAAAAAACAAAATTTTTAAAAAACAAAATTTTTTAAAACATTCAAACCCACCCAGGGTCTGAATGTCCCAGATGCACCGGCCCACCAAGGGCCACCCCTGGTGCTCTGACGAAAAAAAAAAAAGGATTACTCCGGTCTAATGAAACTATCTTTAAATATAAAATCCTTTTTTTTTTCTAGGTTTATTGCATGATCCTGCAAAGTGGCCCGGCTCCAGACATCTGAAGCATTTATTAAGGTACTCTTCCTTCACATTAGGACAATTGTAGTGGAGATGTCCATTCATTTCACAAAAGTAACACTTGGAACCACTACTACTATTATTGGTATTATTAAGGTTGTTGCTACTACTACTATCCAAAATATTATTGTCGTTGTTACTAATATCCAAAATATTATTGTCATTGTTACCAATATCCAAATTATTATTGTCGTCGTTACCAATGTCCAAAATATTATTGTCGTCATTACTAAGGTTTCTGGTCGAAACTGCTTCTATTAGTAGCCGAAATTGCCCAAATACTCTGGGCAAAAAATTTTTTTTTATAAGCCCAAACTACTTTTTGTTAATAGCCGAAATTGGGCGAAATTATTTTAAAGTTGTTTAAGTTAAAACAAGTTGATTCATATAGTTTTTTAATGTTCATGCTTATAGAAAATGTTGAGAAGCCCAAATTGCCCAAACTAGTTTGGGTTTTGAGAAAACAGTTTGGACCAGAAACCTTAATGGAGATGGCATCCACCAATGCAACTTTCTCAATCCACTGGGAACACATCTATAGATTTGGATGCAATGACAATATGATAAATATCTAGGATGTATGGAATCATGATGAAGCAAATAAATAAAATAAAGACAATAATAATACCAAGGAGCCAGATACAACATCTACTTTCTTTCCTATCTAGAATTTTCCTTGTTTGATAACATCATAGTAATCAGGTGGAGGAGGTCTACTGTATTCGTTTAACTTATTAAAAATGTCTGCTTTTTGTTGAGTTCTGGTTAGCTCAATATTGATATTAGTATTTTCCATTTTTTTTTTTTTTGAGATTTGAGATTGACTGACCTATTATTTTTTAGATTTGATGTTGACTTATCTGTAATAAATTCCGCATATTCAAATTTATTATGATAATGAGTCAAAGACTGCACTCTATGCATTTGGCATAAAAACGTGCATGTGGAAAATCAAAGTTCATAGAACATCTAGATTATGTGACATTAATGCATTTAGAGAACAGGCAGCACTAGACAATTCTAATGTTCATAGTTTTATCTCTGAAGGATTAGCACTTGTTGAGGTATTAGTATATGACCCAATTGTTAAATACATAAAAAGAAGATGAAGGAAGGAACTTCAAGCAATGAAGAAATTGAATTAAATAAATGGTTTTACGAATTATCAAAAATTATTTTACAATCACTCACTTTAATGTAGAGCTGTGTGGAAATTATTAATAAATTATATTAAGATATCTTATTTGTTTATTTATTATTATTATTCTAAATTAAAAAAAAGAAAAAAGAAAAATTTATTATTCTATAAATTAAAAAGTATTTTTATTTATACATAAATTAATTTTAATAAATCTAATAATCACTCATTTTTTATAATGTAATATATTTATTTAATCATTATCCTTGTTCCTTCATAATCACATTCTTTTGCTAATACACTGTCTATTTTAACCATTTTCTTGCAATAGAATTTGCCAAATTCATGAATGGCAATTCAACAAATTTGTGATAAAACCATGCTAAAACTGTTGTAACCAAAAAACTTAACATCACTGAATCAAACATATCATTGTATTTTTCAACTTCATCTGATTGATCTACATCCTTGAGTGTTTCAACATTACCAATAAATGTAAGATAATTGCTAATATAATTATTTACCAGATTGAAAGCTATTGGATGTAAAAGATAGATACTAAATGAAATTTTACCACAAAAGCAAAAATAATTCCATGATAATAATTTCACAAATGATTCATTGCGTGATAATAGCCCAAGTAGAATTAAGGCTGCATATAATAACCCTCCTGCATTTATTTCCAACTGAAGATTATATGAATAGCCCAAGACTTTTGATGATAATCTTGGCATTGTACATAAAATTATTATAAACATTATGTAACAAGATAAATCAAACATATTACGAAGTGCTGTGTGAAGTGTAGGTATTTTTTGGTAAAAATAATTATATACTAATGACACTAATAAATCTTTTTTATTTTTAGGTTTTTTTGGAATTTTGTAAACATTTTCTTCGTCATTGTTATCATCTTTTTTCTCTTCTTCTTCACTTTTTGGTAATAAATTTAATCTAACAGCTTCTCTATATAATATAGCTCCTAATGATCCGGCTAAAAAATAATGAGCTGTGCCTTCTAACCATAAAGGATTTCTATCACCAAGAGTGAATGCAATAATTGTACGTGCAAATACGATTATAGAAAGGGCAATAAACCGGCCAATAAATTCTCCTTTTTTTTCATTATAATTAGTAATTTTTATAAGTTTTTTCCCTAGATGACCAAGTCCTACGTATCCTATTATGATTACTGGAATAAATAAATAAAACTATATATATAAATAATATAATAATAAACAAAGTTAGAAAATTTTAAATTTTTGGTATATATTAATAAGTAATAATAATTAATTAATTAATAATTTACCTTCATTTCAGGTGGTATTGACCAAAAAATGAATTCAGATTCAGTCAAGGTAAGATGAGAAATAAGGTTGTCAGGAGTTACAATGTTAAAATATGATTCACCAATAAGTTTATTGTAGGCAATTAAAACCAAAAGAATGGAATAAGGCGGATATACTCTCAAAAATCTACGTAGAAAAAATTTGGCCCATATTTTAACTGCTGGCAAATAATCATATAATGTCGAGGAAATTCCTTCTCTTGCTGATAAAGTTTTCGTTGTTTTTGAATTTAGTCCTATAATTGTTTCATGGTATTCCTAAACATTTAATTGATTAATTAATCAACTAATAATTATAATATAAATTATTATCACTACCATCATTATTTATATTAAAAAAAATATCTACCTTATTATTACCACTCTCATCATCATCATTTAATAATGGAATTGATGAATTTGATCCAGTACTCTCTTCATTCTCTTCATTGTCATTATTTCTAACATTTTGATACTCAAGGTTACCAAATTGTTTTTTTACCGCATCTTCTTCTTTTGGAATATTTCTTTTTTCAAGGTATGCTTCCCATTCTAACATTCCACGAAACGTTAATAAAAAAGCTGACAGTACAAAAAAACATCGAACGCCATCAAAACCAATCATATTATATGTATAATAAGGAAGTGTTTGTTTGAATAGATTTTGTGAATGTGAATAAACTACTGAAAGTGCAGCTAAACCTCTTAAACCATCAAGGAAACTTGCATGAAAAGCATTACTTCTCGAGTTTTTTGAGGCCATTTATTATTATTATTACTATTATTATATGTAATGAATCGTATATATGTTTTCCTCTTTATTCGAATACAAGTTGATATTGAGCGTACAAATTAAATTATTAACTAAATTGGAAATAGGGTTCTTTTTCAAATTTGGGAATGTAATCGATGTAGATCGCCGAATTGCTATTATTATTATTTAATTATTAACTTATTATTAAGTTAATTTGTTACAAAGTTATTCTTCGATTACAGAGAATTCTCGTTCATTATATACTAATACATGTCGAATTATATGTATTCCAGACTGGGATAATCTCCGTTAATTTCTACTAATACTAAATAATGGATGAGAGTGTGCATTTATGGAGGGATGCATTTATAGAGGGGAAGAATTTTATTGGTTGCACGTGATATTAATAAAAATAATTATATTAAATATATTATTTTTGACTAAAAAAATTGTTTCATTGTGGTTTGCTTCATTGAATTTTTTTTTTCAAATTAATGTGTCACTCAAAGGCATTAACTTGTCCTAATTGTTCTTTAGAATTTTCTTATTTTATTTTTGGTTACTTTTATTAAACATCAATTTTTAAAAAAAATTCGTGATCTTTTATCCTTTAATTTTTTAATTTCGCGTATATATAATTTCTCCATTTGTGTTTTTATCATTATTATTATTCTAATAAACTCTTTGTCAATTAAAAAGAAAGAATTAACAAACATTCATTTAATCCTTTATCAGCAACAGTAGCTTACCTAATCCTTTATTTTCCATTACTAATATTAAAAAAGAGGTAACAAAGATGATAAATAGATATAAATAACGTTTGAATTAATTAATGCAACACGAATTTATTTAGCAAATAAATCACGTGAGAGTCACGGACGTGCATTTAGAGAGGGTGGTTTTATATGAACGGGGGATGGGGGAAGACCGTAATATAGAAGGCGTGCATTTATTTCTAATTCCTGAGGTTGGGAATGAGACATAGCGTGCATTTATGGAGGGATGCATTTATAGAGGGTGCACTTATGGAGGGTTCACTGTATAATAAAATTAAAAATAAATAATAGATAAATAAATAACTAAAAATAAATAATAGATAACTAAAAATAACAATATGGATAATAATATTATTACTCCGGATTTTCGGGGTCAAATTCGCATTCCGGAGACATTATTTAAAAAAATTCGCAAATGTTTACAAGAAAAACTATATATACATACATGTAAAATCAACAATTGATTGTCTATATATTCATGAACAAAGTAATTAATATAATAATACAATGATGATAGATTGTGATCTGGATTGTTATTGTCTTTCTTGCTCTCTAATGTGTTGTTGTTGTTTTTAGCTGGCATTAAGGATTTGTTGATGATGAATGAAAATGATGTTGTTATTATCCATTATGTAAAGAGAATATTTTATTGCAGTCAGATCCCCCCCCCTTTGGACTAGTGATGCGATCTGTGGATAAACAATCCAGATATCTGTAAAATAATCCGGTCATATACGGATTGACGGATGGCTTTTTTATTTTTAAAAGACTGATGGATTACGGATTGAAATTTTAATATTAGAGTTCATCGGATATTCAGATACTCCAAATGAATACAAACACTACTTCTACATCCACCAAACCTTTCAAATTTCAAATCAATTTCAAATATTACACGGGTTTGAAAAAATCATTCAAATTTATTAAATTAGATACTAAAATTGTTTACTCTATATCATTATTATTATCGTTTCTAATACTTTTAATCTTTAAATACAAAAGAAAATTAATATAAGTCACGTAAAATCAAACCTGTTCACTCTAATAATACATTTATTGAAACACAATTACTGCTGTAAATATTAACTTGAAACAAAAATCTAATTGCGACTATTTTTTTAATTAGATCCTGACTTTACAAAAATTATATAGTAATAGAGGGAAAAAAATACATTGGACATGTGCAGAAAATCTTGCTTTCATTTTCATGTATGATGAGATTTATCCTTTGCAGACAATAAATCTTTTCGTTTATTTCAGGTAATAATAGTAATAGTAATTACACATTAAAACTGGTTATGATCATCAAAATTTAGCAATAAAATTTGTTCACCATAATGTTTCGTATTTCAATTTTGCTCTCATCCTCCAAAAATTCAGTTTACCAAAAGTTCAGAGACAAGCCTTTGCAATATGCAATTTGCATATTTGCATAATTATAAAACGGACTGTAGAAAATTTCCTTGACAAAAATAAATAAGATTTTTCAAATTTATATCGGACAAAAAATGTTCTATTCCAAAATTAGAATTTTTTTTCACGCCTTTATTAATAATTGTTAAAAAATCAAATCAATTGCTTTTATAGAATTTCATGGGCAAATTATTTTATTTAATTATTTCAAGAAGCAACTCTATTCGTTCAGCAACATTATAAGTGATTTTATCAAGGAAATTTTAAAGAATCCTCGAGACTTTTATTAGGATCCATTTCATCCCATGCTGGTAAGAATATTGGAATATTATCTGGATCTAATTCTGGATAATTTTCACGAATAACTTTCATCAATCCATCAAATAACGTCTTTAATTGGAAGAGGAAAATAAAAATTATATAAAAATATATCAGTTAAATAAATTAATATATAAATTAATTTTTACTTAAAAATAGAAACTTACATCACAACCATAACCCGCAAAATGTAAGCCATCATAAAGAAAATCTTTTAAAGTAAAAACATCACCATCATCACCGCCAACAACCTTTTTCTTTCCGAGTTTATCATGAATCAATTGCCAAATATTTACAACAGACACATTTACTTCATTTGCCACATCAACACAAGCATCAGCATACAATTTCATAACTTCATCTGTTCTTTCACCCCGATCATCTCCACCATTCCATACTTCATCATCTAAAGCTCCTGGAGTGATTAACACGATTTTAGTAGTAGTAGAGTGATAATTGGATGATGGAGACTTGATTAGATTGACCATTTCTTTTAAATTCGCTTTATAATCCTCAAGTGGCACGTGTTGAGGTGACGGTGGAATTGCTGCATCGTTTGAACCATAGAATATGACAAGTAATTTGATTTTTGATTTTGATGATTTTTGTTGTTCAATTGTTGGCAAGAATTGTGGTAATATGCATTTTCCTTGCTTAGAGTTATACCCTTTATTATTAATTCGAGAAAGAATTAATATTAAATATTAATTAGAAGAAATAGAAAATAGTTCACAAATATATTTAACTGTCTACCTGAAAACCCTCTATTTATAACATCAAGTCTTCTTATATATGCATTATGAACTGATGAACACCATCCATTCATTTCATTGTTATATCCGATCTAACAATCAATCAATCAATCAATCAATTAATTTTTATTTTCTCTAAACTAGAAAATTGCATTTAAAAAAAACCTGGGTCTGTGAATCACCCAATAAAACAATTTGATCCAACAAATGATTCATTTGAAAAAAAAAAATTTCTTTTTTAAAATCCTCATTTATATTATAATAATTAAATAATGCACAAAAATAGTACAGCAGCACTCCTAATCTGGGTAAGGAATGTTGATCGTGCGCAGTTGCTTAATCTTCATGATCTTGATGATGATGATAATGATGATAAGCAGCAACCAAAGCACCTCTAACCACTAAATCATTACCCCAACGACTTTTAACAAAAATAGTTTCTGACCAAAGTTCAGGTATCAGATTACTAGTATATAATTTCACCAATTCTAAAACTCTATCCCAATAAAATGGGAAATTTAATAGACCACCAGCAATCACTACAACTTTAGGATTAAAAATGCAAATAATGTTTGCTATAGTAACACCAAATACAGTCGCCCAATTTAATACAACATTAACAATTTTTTTATCAATTTCTATGCTTTTTTCTTCCTCATCTTTTTCATTATTTGATGGGAAGGAGGAGGAGGAGGAGTTAAGAAGATGAATATCTTTAGGTGATGAATATTTGGAGAGACGTAAGATTGCATCTGTAATTGGCACGCCGATTTCTTCAGTTATTATTCGGACAAGTTCTCTACCACCTGCAAGTTCATCAAGTAGTTTTGTTGGTGGTGGATCAAGAATTAGATTGGTGGAATCTGTTGTGGAATAGTTGGGAACTCGTGAGGTATAATGTTGAGGAATAAAAATTGGAGCAATTCCAAAATTTCTTGCTGCGTTCATATGACCTTTTAAAACTCTATCATTACAAAGAAACGATGTACCAATCCCAGTACCTATGATGATGATTATTATTATTATTTTAGGGAAATAAAATAACAATCTACAAAAAATCACACATTTCTCTTTCGTGCTAACTACCTGCAATGATAATCGCTAGATCTTTGACACCGGGCCATTCTCTTCTAACATATTCTAATGCAGCATCAGCATCATTGATAACTTTAACTTTTATATCATTCCCGAATTTTTCTTTGACGCTTTTCACCGGATTCCAACCTGACAAATTTCCAATTTCACATAATGAAATTACGCCTTCTTCATCTGTCAGTCCACAAATAGATATACCAATTGAAACGATTTTATAATTATTATCATAGCTATTATTTAATTGTTTAAGAACATGGTCATCGATAATTTTATTAAAATCTTCAGGTTTAAAAGATTGTCCGGTCAACAATCGATAATTATGTTCATTGTTATTATTATTGGATAATGGTGACATAGTTTCTGATATTTTAAAATATGAAGAATCAATTATACTCGATACTGTTGTATGGGTAAATGCAAATTTCGTGCCACCAATATCAATTCCCAAACAAACTTTAACTGGAGATGCCATTTTTTTTTAAAAAAAAAAAAAGCGAAATATTAAGGACCCGCACCCTATTGGCTAATTAATAGTAATGGTTAAGATCAGCATGCAGGGGACAGTGATTTCTGCGTAGTAGTAGTGAGTTATCTGGATTACTCATGAGTAAATCATTACGAGTACAAACACTATTTCTGCGGCGAAAAAATCAGAAATAATAATAATAAATAAATTAAAGAAAAAGACGCGTTGAAAAAAAAAAGATATAAAAGAGATATATTAATATATATATATTAACTGAGCAAATCAAATGGATTAAAAGTAAAAAGTATCATTTGTAACCATAATAATATATGATTGAGTAAAGGAATATATTTTTTTTTTCGGAAAATTTTATATACAAAACCGCTGTATAATATTAATATATGATTACACTTTTTTTTTGTAGCACATTACTATTGTTCCCGAATTTTTGCGACACTTAAATTTTTCAATAGAATTTTGCGACAAATTACTAATACTAATATCAATATCAGTTAAAAATTTGCGACAATCCAATGGGAAATCTTCTATTACTTTATCTTTTACGATACACCATATAGTTCACTGTAATGAACGCCGATAATAGGTTAGTAAGAATCAGAATACATGTCTTTGGGGAAACAAATATTTATCACAATTGTCGCAAAAATTGCGCTGTTGTTATTTTCGTAACACAAATATTCCGAAAGACAGCCAGCACACCTCTTATTATTATTGGGTGTAGTAGTAGCACAAATTTTCGGAGTAAATGTTATAAATAAACGATCTATACTAATACTAATACCACTTATCAAATTCAAATAACGGTATAATTTTACAAATATTTACCGCAAATCGAATTTGATTTTTTTTACTTGCTGTGTTTAATCTATTGTTATGATAAGGGGCCCTTACGACAAGCCCTGCGATGAGTGCCGAAAGATCAAAAAGAAATGCATTAAGACTGACACCGGGGAATGTATTTATTGTTTAAATAAAAAAACTTCATGTAAAAGAAATGGTGTAAGCAATGGTAAATCTATATGCTAATTAATTATTATTATTATTTTTTATTAGCCGTGTAATTCATTTGATTTTTGTTTTTTTTTATCTTTAAAAGTAAATGAAGCACCAAGCAATTTCATCGAAAACTTTTTATTTGGATCACATTTCACTGAACCAAGTACTTCTTCTGGATCATTTTTTTCGGCAGTGGAACCAAATACAATGGATAGTTCATTATCATCTTCTCTTAGAACGGATCAGCATGAAGACCTGGAAACAGCATCCAATACAATTGATCTAACAATGTACCAACCCGTAGTGCCGTCAATGAAACCAAATACAATGGATAGTTCATTATCATCTTCTCTTAGGACGGATCAACATCCAGAGCTGGCAACAGCATCAAATACAATTGATCAAACAATGTACCAACCCGTAGTGCCGTCAATGGAACCAAATACAATGGATAGTTCATTATCATCTTCTCTTATAACGGATCAGCATGAAGACCTGGCAACAGCATCCAATACAATTGATCTAACAATGTACCAACCCGTAGTGCCGTCAATGGAACCAAATACAATGGATAGTTCATTATCATCTTCTCTTAGAACGGATCAATATGTAGACCCGGGAACGGAACCAAATATAATTGATCGGACAACGCACCAGCCCGCAGGACTGTCAATGGAACCAAATACAATGAGTGATTCATCATCATCATCTCTTATAACGGAACCAAATACAATGGAACCAAATGTTTCATATTTTTTGCTACCTTTACCAGCCCGCAGAACTATCAACGGAATCGAATACAATAGTTGGTTCATCTATTCTATCAATGGAGCCGATTTTATCATTATTATCAATGATTCAACCTACTGATTTAGTGTTATTCACAGAACGAATTTCCACAAGATATTTATTCAGATAGTAATTTGTGTAGTCTAATGATTCATGTAATAATTGTACACAAAATTTGTAAATAATTTTCAATTATAATTTGTCGATTAATGGCAAGAATTTACCAGATACTAGCAAACTTAATAATTATTTAATTTCAAATATTCCTCTTTTAAATCAAGAAAAAAGAGAGTACATATATTTATATACATAGTCCAGTTCTAATATTTTACAAATTAGATTCTAAGATCCACTCATGATGTACTATTACTATACAGAAATCAAAATATCAAAGCCAAATTACGAATTCTGTGACAGAGACTCTTGAAGTCCAACAGAATGAACCTAAGAAACTTTAAAGTATAAAAAATATGATTGATTTTGGACTGATATTGATGTATCAAAAAAATTTTGCAACATTAAAAATAATTAAACTTTATACATTTAAACAAATATTTTGAATCTACTAAAATTTAGTTTTAATTGATGTTACATTTCAAAACATAAATGAAAAAATAGGTCATACGTAAAACCCTTGCCAACTTAGTATCAACTTGTGTTAAAATTCCAGAAAGTTAAAGATAAAAAATAATATATTATTATTATTATTATTATTTCACTTTTGCTATCTATTTTAATAATAAGTTAATATATCATTATTTGTAATTTTTTACCATTCGAGATAATATTTAACATAATAATAACCTCCTTAGCGGCGGCGTAAACCATTCTGAAGTTAACAAAGAAGAAAATCTGCACGGTCTAAGACATGGAGATCGGGAAAACCACACGCGACTTTATTTCTATTGTAAGTTTCCTTTGCGTGTGAAAAAAAGAGGCGTGATACACATGTTTATCTATCTAACATTAGAGGAGGTTAGGGTTGAGTAGAATTCCGGTCCCATGGGCAAAGACGATCACAGCAACAGTATTGCATATTTTATCGACATCATAAAAGTAGCACATTTTATTTAGATCCAAGTGTATTGAGGAATCTAATTGTAACCTACCACCAGATAATGTCCATTCAGCCCAAATTGTTTTGTTAATGTCAAAAGTTAAAATAATTACGACACTCGCTATTAAAAACATACATGTATAACGATAATCACAATGTTTAAATACTTTGGGTTGAATGTATATAGTTGTTTTTTCATGTCATCGGCTTAAAAATTAGATTTAAGATCTCTTATTGTTATATATATACATTGTAAAATTACCAATATAACACGATACAGCTTGTCTGAGTGTTTTTTATTTATTTCTATTTCTACTTGAATGATATGTATGTAGACTTACCTCTATAATAAAAATAATAAATGATAACTATTTTTTATTACCAAAATCTCCCACGATCGACATCGAAATTTTTATTTTGAAAAATTGTAAAGGTTACAAGAAATATGGATTATAATATGGACGACTTTACATTTAAACGTAAAAAATCAAACAAGTCATCAGGGAGGAAATTGTTTGCAAAACCTGATATACCTATTATAAAAAAAAATCTTCGAGAGAATGCTGCTCATGTATCTACTACATTAAGAAAGCACAATGATAATGAATTTGAAGGCGATGTTGCAGATTGGTCAATGGAAGGAACTGGAAGAAGAGTTGCCTATGAAGATTTTACTACCATAGGTTTGATGAAACTATAATGTCTGTATATCTACATCGTTTGTATAACGTTGATCTGATTTATTAGTTTATTTTTAATACAAGATTGGATTCATGATTTTGCTAAAGAGCGAGCACGCCAAAGAAAATTACAAAAAAAAAAAGGATTTCGTGCTCAATTGAATCTTCTTTTTGATGCTACAGAAGGATGGATTATTGTATCGATTGTTGGTTAGTTTATTTAAATGTTTATAACATACACATTATATATATTAATAATTGTCTATAAAATATATATTTTGGTGGTTTATCAGGTATTGCATGCGGATTATTAGCAGCAGCTATTGCAATAACTTCAGAATGGTTAAGTGATTTAAAAGAAGGTTATTGTAGCACAGCATTTTATTTAAATAGAAAATTTTGCTGTTGGGGGTATGAAGGTATTTTGATATTGAATGTATTAAAAAAATTTTAGGAATTGTATTTAATTATCTTATTTTTATTTTCAAAAAAAAAATTATAAAGAACTACATTTTTAATTAATTTGTCAAAATATATATAGATGAATATGTTTGCACAGGATGGGTTCCTTGGAATACTGCTCTTCAAGCAAGATCAGAATCTGCAGAATTTTGGACAAACTATTTTTTTTATATAATATTTTCTGTAAGTCATTAATAATAATGACAAAAGATCATTATAATGATTGATGACTTGTAATAAATTCATTCATTCTATATTATTTTTTATCATCAACATCAACACTGACATTCTTTTTTAATATACAATATAAAAAAGTTATTATTTGCAACCACAGCGGCTTATTTAGTTAAAACTTATTCACCTTATTCTGCTGGCAGTGGATTACCTGAAGTTAAAACTATCTTGGGTGGATTTGTTATAAGAAAATTTTTAGGGTGGTCAACTTTAGTGATCAAAAGCATTGGAGTGGTTTGTAATCATTCATTCATTATATGGGACATGGACAATTAAAAAGGACAAAATATTTGATTCCTGATCGTTTTTGAGACAACGATTCAATTCGCGTCTAAAAACCTTTTTTAGAATAGCATTTGCTTTAAAAAATTAATGAGATAAATATTTTTTAAAGTTGTAATTACAATAATTAATTTCTTTGCATGCTGATCTTTCTTGCGTTCATTTTAATTGTCTATATCTTGTATATTCTTTTTTAAAAAAAATTTTATTAAAATTTATTTTTATTATAGTGTCTTGTGGTTGCATCTAGTTTGTCTCTGGGCAATGAAGGGCCTTTAATACATCTGGCTTGTTGTTGTGGAAATATTATACCTAGGATTTTTCCAAAATATAGATATAATGAAGGTTATTATTAAATTATTATCAATATTTTATTAATATTTTTGTTTTTTAACAATTAATTTTATAACTTAATTAAATAGCTAAGAAACGTGAAATATTATCAGCAGCAGCAGCAGCCGGTGTTTCTGTTGCATTTGGTGCACCTATTGGTGGTGTTGTATTTAGTTTGGAGGTAGATTAAATACCCATCAAATTATTTTTAAATATATATATATATATTGCTGTTTTATTTCCATACAAAAGATTAATATACACGTTATTTAGGAAGTGTCATATTATTTCTCATTCAAAACTATGTGGAGAAGTTTTTTTTGTGCAATGGTTGCTGCAGTATCACTTGCGGTATGTAATCCTATTAAATATTATTATTATTTATATTTGTTATTAATTAATAAATTTATTTATTTTTAGTTTATGAATCCATTTAGAACTGGCAAGCTTGTTTTATTCCAAGTTGTTTATGATAATGATTGGCATGCTTTTGAATTGATTTTTTTTGCAATATTGGGTGTCATGGGGGTAATTAAAAACCCCCCTTTCCTTTAATGATGATTATAATATGAGAATTAAACTAGTTTGATATTAAATCATGTATTAATTTATTTAATAAATTTAGGGGCTATTTGGAGCTTTATTTATAAGACTTAATCTTAAAATTGCAACATTTCGTCAAGAATCTTGGATAAGATATTTTCCTATACAAGAAGTGATAGTAGTGTCATTTCTTACATCAATAATTAGTTATTTAAACATTTTTATGAGGTGTATTTTTCTTTCTCTCTTAATAATAATATGAATGATCAAATTTTTTATACTAATAATAATAAATATTTTATTTTAGAGTAAACCCTTCTGAACTTGTGGCAAATTTATTTCGCGAGTGTGTTGGAGGAGATTATCATAATCTTTGCAAGTAAGTTTTTTTTATACAAGCTTTTGTTTATAACTATATATGTGTGTATGTATACATGTGCGTATATACATTTATTTCTTATTATTTTGACTTTTCACTTAGCCACGACAATTATTGGGAACCAACTTTATTGTTATTGGTTGCATCAATTTGTAAATTTTTCTTAACTGTAGTGTCATTTGGTTTACAAGTTCCAGCTGGTTTATGGTTACCATCATTAGCAATAGGGGCATGTTTTGGTAGAGCTTTGGGGTTAATTGTGCATGCATGGCATAGGTAATGATAACAACAAATCTATATTATAATAATAATTTAAAACTTTGATTATATACTAAAATTAATTTACCATTATAATAAATGAAAGCTATCATCCTAATTTTTGGCTATTTTCTTCATGTTTGCCTGATGTTCCTTGTATAACACCAGGAATGTATGCTATGATCGGGGCAGCAGCCACTTTTGGTGGAGTTACACGTATGACAGGTAAAAATAAATTTGTCAAAGATATTGATTATGTTATTAAGCTTATAAATTTATTATATTTATACATTTATATATATATAGTCTCATTAGTCGTTATAGTATTTGAACTGACCGGTGCATTAACTTATGTTTTACCAATAATGATTACTGGTAATTTTCCCATTAATTTTAATTAATAATTTTTTAAACTTATAATATCCTAACTATTTGTGTATATATATATATGTGTGTGCATGTATGTATATATAAGTTATGATTAGCAAATGGGTTGGAGATGCATTTAATAAAGAAGGTATATATGATGGCTGGATAAGGATGAACGAATATCCATTTTTGGATAGTAAAGAAGAATATATTTATAATACATTGGCTTCTCAAGTTATGACAAAAGTTGAAGATTTATTAGTCATAGTTTCTGCTGGCTACACTTTGAATAGTTTGGGTAATATTTTGAAAAAACTTTTTTTAAAAACAAAGTAAAATTTTCATATTATAATTTATAAATAACCAAATCCCTTATTTAATTAATTATATATATACGTATAATTAGAAACAATACTTAATGATACGAATTATAAAGGATTTCCTGTAGTGCATAGTTCTGATGATTTGTTACTTAATGGTTATATATCCAGATCTGAATTAAAATATGCAATGGGTAAATATAAATATATTTATATCATTCAATAAAAATTATTTCCATAATAATAAAATGAAATAAACTGATTATATTTATTTGTTAAAAAAATTCATAGAAAAGGCAAAAAAACAAGGAATATCATCATCATGTCCTTGTTATTTTTCTAATAATTTACCTATATTGGATTCATCTGAATTTGTAGATTTCAGGCCATGGATGGATCAAGTAAGATAGATTTATAAATAATGAATATAATGAATATAATGATTTAAACTGATGTAATTTTTTTACTCTAAAAAAAGACACCAATAACAGTATCTCATAAATTTCCAATGGAGATGGTAATAGAATTATTTAGAAAAATGGTAATAATTGATTATATTTTGCTAATCGACAAAAAATTTTAAATTTATTTGATTAGATTTTTAACATTACTATCGTTAATATTATTTGATGATGAATCTAGGGTTTAAGATATGTATTAGTGACAAAGAATGGTCAATTATTAGGATTAATAACAAAAAAAGATGTGTTAAGGCATTTATCAGCAATAAACAGCACATCAAGAATTTTAGATTATAACGGATACATGCCAAATAATCAATCACCAAATTTAATGATTTTACCTGAGAGAAGAATGGATGGTTATTTTAATAACAATGAGATTTAACTAGATAATTAATCATTTGGGGCATACTGCAACAAACCAGACAAAATGAACATTTGCATTACTAAGAATTTCATTTAGTGTAATTGGTGATGATTTCTAGAAAAAAGATTCCATTTATCATTTTGATTGTTTTATTTTTTTTCTTACCACTACAAAAGAGAAAAAGTTTTTTAAAGGAAAATGCAAACTGATAATTATGGTGCATTAGATAATTCCAATCAAAAACTGAAAGACGAAAAAAAAAAAGAAATATAATTAATTAATGATTGTCATATTGCAAAAAATCATCAATAATAACATTTAAAATAAAAAAGATGCTTGCATTCAACCATAAACTTTTTTGTGGGTTGTTAATTGGACTCTTACTTGGGTTTTTTGTTTCATGGCAGAAACAAATTGATCACTTGACTAAATCAGGTGACTTCTGACGCGTAAACATATAAAATAATTGAGATTTTGGGAATTTGAGCCAAAGCCAAATTAATTTTGACAACGTGTATAATCTAAATTAAAAAATCAATCAAAATAGAAGAATCAAGAAAAATCGAAATTAAAATAAATCAACTATTGATAAAAAATACTCTCCTGAAATTGAAAACCTATGGATAAAAAGACAAAATTGAATCTAAATTTTTCATTCAATAAATGGACATTGAAATTACTTGAAGAAAGAAATGGAATGTTCCCCCCACTGCAAAAAAATTCTATCAACGAAAAACTGAACCTAGAAGAAAAACAACAGAAGCAATTCAACAGTAGGTTAATAAGGAAAGGGAAAAGAGGCAGAGAATGAAGAAATGAAGATACACAAATTTAAGATTAATGCTATAATAATAGTAATTAATAATAATAGTATTAAGTACTCAAATAATAGGTAATACTTACAATGGCTTTGGGTCCAAGTATTTTCCTTTCATGCAACTTTTATAAATTATGTATTTTTCTGTCCTTTTGCTGCGCCACGTAGCAAATTTCAAAAAAATAAAATAACAATTTTGTAAAATTTTAAAAGGCATTTTCAAAATGGACCCCGCGTGATTTTGGTCTAGTAAAAATATAATAATATTAAATAACTCCTTACATTATCATCATTCGAAATTTCTTTATAATTCCAAGTCATGGTTCACTAATTTATCATTGGTCGAAAGTATTTATAAATTGATCATTGATATTAAATTTATTTTTAAAAAGATGGAAATCAAATTAAAAGATGGAAAGTTTAAAGAGTTAAACAAGCTGGAGGATAATTTGGAAAACAAAAATGGGAGAATGATAAAGAGAAGAAGAAATGGAAAATTGAGAGGGATAAGTTGGAGGATGAAAAGAAGAAATGAGGGGACCAGGTGATTAGGTAAAGAAATGGGCAGATAGATAAAACATATATCCCTCTTTACTTTCTTCTTTCTGGTATTGGAACTGGTAAATCACACACAGTGAATGAACTACTAAGATTGGCAAAAGAATATGCAGAGGATATAGAGGGATGTTTATTTGAAGAAGGCACTGGAGAACCCATTTATCTTCAATATATCATTTGAAAATGGTACTCCCTTGAATCTTAGTGAAGAAAAAGCATCCACACAAGGAATTGGCCTTCAAATGTTATATTGATTGTTAAGAAAGACAAGAACAGCTTGGGATACATACAACTCTACAACAGTAAATGGCTTCACCTTCTGATGTGTTGGATCTCATGTTAAAGCATCATAAAATTTCCCATCAGGATATGTCAGTTGTTTTCTTGATTGTTGATGGATTACAGACTACTTTACAAGATAGAGAGGATTCTCATAATAAGAGTTTATTTTTCAGTCTTTCCTTCTCATCCTATTATTGAAATGCTGATTAATGACATGGATGGCCATGGGCAGCACTAGAGACCTTGCAAGATGTGCTTGTCCATTATAAGGATTTAGATGTTGTCAATTTTACTGATTTTGTTAGTGATGTGCAAACAAAAGCTACTGGATTGATACAGTAAGTGGATTATTGCAGATCCCAAATTTTAATGTTTGTTCTGCATATAATAATACTAGCTCATCAAGTTGTGGACAATACAATGCCTTTTCCAGTTATAGACAAATTCAGAGTTGATGATGACACCCAATTTTGATTAATGTGGTTTCAAAAACCATAAGATCACAAGGTTTTTGACCTGTGCTTATGGGTAATGGCTAAGATTGCTTGCCAAAACTCCTCCAGAAATCAATCAGCAGGGTTTCACATTAATTGTTTATTAGAGTTTGGCAGAGTTTTGCATTTTGAGGTTTCGCCATTTCAGCATAATTTCAACAGGAATTTTGATAAGATTTAAATAGTTTTGCCATGGTTTCAGCAATTACTAAGGAGGTTTCACCCACAACCTTAATAATGGCACACACAGGTGAAGATCCAATATTGGGGAAATGATGATTTACATATTACAAGGAACAACAAAGGAAAGGTGGAGTACATAGAGATTCAGTACTGTACTCTTTTGCATTCCTGTACTGTATGATCTACAAAAATAGAAAATTTTTTAAAAAAATCACACACCAACATACAGTATGTAGCACCCCCACCAATCAAATGGATTCTGTACTTGTAACATTTAATACAGAAATGCTAATTTTAGATCGTACAGTACAGGAATGCAAAAGAGTACAGTACTGAATGTCTACTGACTGGGAAAGGTGATGGTTATGGAAACAAGGAAGTGGTTAGCATGAGTAAAATACATTTTGGTGTACTCATTAATGGTGATGTGAAGATATGTAATTGTCATTAATATTAGAGAGAGCTGTAAAACAAACTCCTACAAACTCTTATGCCTTAAAGGATTCAATGATGCAATGTGAAAATGGGCAGATCAATGTGCTTGAGCATAGACATTGTATTATTAATTACTGCAATGCTCCTGCTGGTGATTCTTTTTGTGGTATTAGAGTTGATTCAAATAGTTATTACTGCACTGAAATACACCAATGCAAGCTGGTGAAGTCAGATGTGAATGATAACATGTTTAAAAAGGAGCATCAGAAAGCAAGTGATGAAAATGACTACTTTATTTTATTTACTACTGGAAGATGTACTGCAAACCTCACTTGGCTCTCTGGAGTTGTTGATAAGGATGCATGGGATGCTTATTTTGGCTTATTTTGGCTCATTTTCTGGAAGGGCATTCAGATACCCTCCACCTGTTGCTAATAGAGCCACTTTTTCTGAATTGACAGGGTCAACAGAATTGGGGAAATTCAAGCCAACATGATCATTCAGAAATGTCCCCATAATAACTTAAATGATTGCTATCAAAAAGTAAGAATTTAAGTTTTTTAGTTATTGTGATTGAAAATTATGGGCATAATAATTAAATTTTAGCAAACTCAACTTGGGCTTTAATGAGTTGTTTAAATTAAATTTGCAATTTTTTATTTTATCATCATTGTCAATAAGATTGTTTAATATCCCATCTTATTTCTGAATTGCTTCTATTGTTCTTTTCCTAGGATTGGTTTATTGTTGATAGAGGTTTTTACAATAGAAGAAACAACTCCTTTCATCTTCCCACATAACTCATGGATTTCAGTTGCCATTTTATTAGATTTCTAAAACAACTGAATGTTGGTGATACATGTATCAGTTTTAATGTTAACAAATGTGTGCGACTTTAGATATTAATTTACTACTTTATTTTTTATCAAGAATAACTTAGCAAAAAAATAATCTGATCTATCTATAATTTCGAAAATACTAATACCCTGTGGACCATTTGTATGTGTGAAACAATTAACTGCTGAGGGTAATCGTTTTATAATGCTCTTTTGATCTCTTCCTTAGCTAAGGCAATCAAGTTATTTAGAAATTTATTGTCCCCCCACCGACATAATCTCAGCTACAATTTGCTTCAATAGATAATAGTAAAGAAGGCACCAATCTTATTCAACATTAATAACATGGTTTAAATAATACAGAAAGAAGGAAAGATCTTTAATATAAAAACTACTTTTAGAAGCAATTGGATTGTGGTCCAAGTATCAATCTTAATCTCAACAAGAACTACAGATTGATGATGAAATTATTACAGTAATATTGGTGGATTGCAGTGCACAAAATTTTCTTGTGAAAATTTCAGAATATTAAAAATATTTGCCAGCAAATTAAAGTAGCTTTTGGATTGTGAAAATTGGAAATTATAATTTGTGCTCTTTTTTTATATGTTGATGGGTTAATTAATGGTCATGAAGAATCTTTATGCATGTACACTTTCTACCAAAAGTCACTACCAGTTATGAAAATTTATTTCCTATGCTTTATATTTGTAACATAAAAGGTCTGTTTCTCATTAACAATTTTATAGAAAATTTGATCTCCTCATTAGAAAGTTTATGTGATGCGCTTTTGAATGATATAAAACTTAAAAAGTTTTACTAGAAAAAGACTTGAAGTCATTTATATTTCAAAATTTTGTATCTTTCATAATAAATTTTCACAACTGGCAGTGACTTTTAGTAGGATGCATACTTGTTCAGAGTACAATGATATATTGATTATTATAAACCGAGAACTCTTTCCTTTCTTGCAAATCAGAACTGCATATTATGCTACTTATAATACTACTGTTCCTTTTTCTATAATTAATTAAATATAAAAGATTTTATTTTTTTGAGAAAAACTGTCAAAGTAAAAATATTCTAAATTATCTACCAATAATTAAAGTTATGATTATTAATATCATTCATTTTTTGTGAAGATAAAGTTTGTGTAACAATAGGGAGTATCAAATCATCATTGTCATCATTATTAATGATATTAGTAGGGGCAGTGATTGGGGTGGAGGGGTGAAGTGGAGTATGTGTAGAAGAAGAAGAAGAAGAAGAAGAAGAAGAGTTAGGCATAGATAAATGAGGAAGAAGATGATGACGATGATGAAGTTGATGATGATGATGATGATGATGATGATGTGATGATAATGGTCGAATAGTTATGTTTGGATCAATTGACATTCGTCTATTATTATTCCTATTTCTATTGTTATTACTATTATTACTACTATTAGTACTATTATTAGTATCTTGATATGGAATTGAATTTAATTTGTCATTAACATCAATTTGCCAATTATTATCATTATTGCTAGAATTGTTAATAGGTGATGACGGTAAAGATTTTTTTGAAGTTGTTGGAACTTTAGGTGTTGCCATCATATTAGGGTTTATGATTATGGTTGGCGATGTTATATTTGTGGTAGTTGTAAGAATAGATGAAGCACGTTGATGATACTCGTTTACTGATGTAACAGGACTTACCGCACCAACTTCAGTGGTTTTTGAACCACCAAGGTCTTTTGATGCAGGCTTTTGATTTATTAAATTTTTTAAATAACTTGGATCAACAACATATTCACCCAAGAAAGTTTCTAATGCTGTTAATTTTTCTTCTAAATTTTCAATTTGTTTTTTTAAACAATCATTTTTGTCTTGATTATCATTATAATTGGTAGTGGGGGTGACTAATGGTAGAGTATTAAATGAATTTAAAAGTTTATGTTTTGTTGAAATGGACAAACAACAAAAATACTTTTGAATTATTCCCCAAGGTCTTATTACATCTTTACCAAACAAACACCCATAAATTGCTGATATAAGAATCCAAATTCCACCAATTAATCCTAATGACATTAAAACCTTATTTTTTCAAGAGAGATTAATTTCGTTGTCGAATAAAAAACCAATTGCCGAATATGTGAATTTCATGATACTTACATTATTAATCCTTTTTTTGGAAAAAAAATTTTATTATTTATTATTTTATATTCAATAAATTACTCAATATTATAAATTTATTTAACATTCGAATTTTACCTGATTTCTTTATTAACTTCCAACATAAAAGTTTGTGGTGAAATCGTTAAATATGTGTTTATTCCAGGAAATTTTGGTCCATTTAGCCTCGTACTTCCACCTGATTGATAATATTAGAAAATTTTAATAATAAATTATTTGTAAAATATTCGTCCAAGTGCCCAAGAAAATTACTCAATAACTCACGAAAAAACACACTAGTGTAATAGTTTTGATCATAATTTGACGGTAACCCGATTAAACTTTTCCAATTTGAAATGATATTTGATTCTGATTTACGATTATAAATAAAGTGATAAATCTAATAATTGTAAATCATTATTAATTGATAATAATAATATTTTAAATAAAGTTATATAATAAAGTGTTTACTTCTAATGGATCCAATATAAATTGATTTGAAATATCGAAAGAATTTTGTATGTCAACAATATTTTTGTTTCCAAAATCTTGTTCTGTATAATGATGAAAAAAACCAATCAATAATCTTAATTATAATCTAATCACACGAGAAAAATACTAAAAAATACCTGAATCAATAAATAACACACTGGTGTAAAAATCACTAACATCATAGGTTTGATTCTCGTAAAAAATTCCTAGTCTGAAATCCAGCAGAGCATTTTGGTCATATTTTCTATTTTTAAAAGTTAGATTTTTCATCGGTGAAAAGAATCCTAAATAAAGTCCATCGTTATTTTTATTATCAGGTTGAATTAAGAAGTTTGAACAATCACTAATTAAAATAAAATTATCTTTTATTTAAAAATCAAAAATTCAGAAAATTAAGTTTATTTATTTTTCTCTAAAGGAATATTATATATACATATACAATATAATTACATTCAAGACATTTCAATTCAAATTTATACGTCGAGCTAACGATAATGTCTACATATTATTTAATTGATTAGTTAATTAATTAATTATTTGAGAAGTAAAATAAAATAATAGTAATAATACTTGGGAAAGGAATTTCTTTTTTCTCCATCGACGACCTTTGAATAATTGGTTTATCATTTATAATATTGAAAACTTGAAGTGCAATAATGCCACATAATAATAATAATGAAAATGCTATTATTAAACTCTTTAGAGCATTTATTGACCTTGGCTCACTCTTTTTACTATTTGAATTAAAGAAATCTGAAATATACATTTTTTTTATTTTTTTAAAGTGCAAATTATATATATTTTATACGTAATATTTTAATTAATTAATTTGTTGATCATATAAAGAAAGAAAGCAAGTAAATACAATTCAAGTTTTCTTTTTTCGCTTAATTTATATTATCTGGCAGATTTGCTGCATTAGATTTAATCATTGATAATTATATCAACAAATAACAATGGCATTCCTATTTTCTGATATTTAGTACAAGTAATTTTATTTTGGGTCGGAGAAGGATTGCATAAAATGAACCTTGATTAATCTTTTGATCACATGATTAGCATGATTTTCGTTGAATTTAATAGGGAAATAAATACCTGGCCAATTTACAATTAGTATTAGTATTAGATGAAAAATTATGCGAATAATTTCCGAAAAGGTTACACCTTTATGAATTTTGTTTATGTGAAATTGAATATTGCAATTTTATAATTAAATCTGGATTTGAAGGCTTATTGATTGAGCCTTTACATCTGGAGCGAAATACTATCATGGAAACTACGAAATTTCAATAAAAGTTTTAGAAATCGGAAGAGAAATTTTCTCTCCGCGCCAATTTTAAATTTCAAAATTCCAAAATTGGAAGTTTTTAGACAAATTACCTTATAAAATAAACGTAATATTAAATATGGTCGTACAATAAATACATGATATCAACAAAATGAGATTTGTTTTTTGGTCATACATTTCCATTTGAAAGCAATGTATGTACAACTAAGAAAAAAAATTTAATCAGATAAGGAGTAAATCAAAAGTAATAATAAAGGCAGCATGTTGCCATGGTAGGCTTCAACTCTTAGGACTATACCCCTGCGTGACTTTCACGGGACTATCGTGCAACAATAATAAAATTACATGTTACGGTTGGTTTTTTCCTTTAAAACAAAACAGTCTTGCTTGCTCAGCTGAAGAGAGTATAATTTATTCTTATTGCTGGTGATGATATTGATTGTCCATTTTGACTAAGAAAAAATAAATAAGGTAATTAAAATGAGAAAATTTTTTCTTTTCAACAACAATATGTCTGCATAAACCTTGATCATTTATTTAATATTTTATGCTTTGACTTGAGAAATAAAAGGCTCAATATTAAAATATTACGATTATTCTAATTATCTTTTCACCCACCAAAAAGGATTAATTAAACCGCTTAAACTTGTGAGATGTGGTGCAACGGAAATTTCAAAGTGGATAGTGGCTCTGAATTTTATTGAAATTGTATTAGAGTAAGCTTTTAACTTTCAAAGGACTTGCTGAAGTTCCCTTATATGCAAGGGATCTTTTCCGAGCATTGGTCGAAAAATTTTTTTTTGTGCCCGATTATAAAATGTAATAGTCATCTCCAAGGTGGAAATGTCTAAGACAAAGAAGACTTTGAAAAGGCAGTAGCAAAATATAAGATCAGTACCCGAGCAATCTTAGAATACTTTATTGCCATGTTTAGAAATATATTCAAGATCTTCATAAAATTTACCCTAATTAAGAAAGATAAAGGCCATTTTAGGGCTTCGAATGAATTCGTTTCATTCGTTTCATTCGTTCCATTCGTTCCACTCAATTTATTTGTTTTTATTATTTGTTTTTATTTTGAGTTAACAAAACTCAATGTTATTATTATTATAATAAACTATATATATAAAAATTCATAAATTAATAAGGAAAGATTCACGTTTTTCCTATTGAGTTTACTATTACCATTTTTATTACAATTACTTTTACCATTAATGTTATTTAGTATTGACGTTAAAAGGGAGCCCACTCCCCAACCCACTATAACTATCATTATTATATCGACTAAAAGAATTTTTTTCTTAATATTTTCGTTTCATTCGTTTTACTCGAATAATCATCAATGTAATTCGAATAGTTGAAGTTAATTCAAACTTCGTTCGAATAGAAGTTCTAGGCCAAAACTGAATATATACCAACTCCTAATTATAATATTAATATTACTACTAAGATTGCCGTTAAGAGGATCCGTTAGTAGTACAAATGTGGCGTTTAGCAAATTTCAATGACTGGACCCTAATTTTTTTTGTGGCGTTATATTTGACTTTGTCTATTTTATTGCAGCCCCAAATGACATTTTCTCTGGGCATAGATTACATATTTTTCTTGGCAAACTTTAATTAGGTAATAACGTACCGCCAAGAAAAAATTTTAACCACTAATAGAATAAATTTTCATGGTAATAATGTATATATATATATTCATATACAATTTTTTTTCGTTATTTATCATCAATTTTTTTTATTTTTCGCACATACTGTAATGAAAATATGGCAAGCAAACAATCACCAATAATTTATCCAATAACAGTACCAACTTTAGCACCTTCAATTATATTGACCATATTATTTCTATCAACGTCATCACTTCATCTATATCGTATGATAAAGTTTCGTAGGCCAATTTACTCGTACTTATTTGCATTTAGTTTTGTAAGATTATTACTCTTCATAGTTCGTACAGCATGGTCAACTATATATCACTCAATCACATTAAACATAATCACAAGAGTTTTATTGGTAGGAGGATTTTTCATAATAATAGAAGCATTATATACATTATTAACGGATTGGTTAATAATCACTTTAATTGGTGAAACATCAACTTCAAATGACAATCATAATAACGAAGAGGGAGATGCTATAATACCAAAATTTACAAAATATACAATAAAATTTATAAAGTTTTTTGTATTAATAATACTGTCAATTACTAATATTATTGGGGAGATAATAGAATTTGATGATAGTGATCGATTGATTGGACAAGTCTTTATTAAAGCATCATCATTAGGTTACCTAGTGATAGTCGTAATCTATATGTTATTTATAACATATTTTGTCTTAAAATGTCATACGGGTATCTCGTTACACAAAAAATTAAAAGCATCGGTATTATACATTGGGGGAGCATTGATGCTGATCGAGTTGGCCTACCGAATTTTTATAACATTTTCAGATCCTGGTGACCCAATCAAAAGGATTGAATGGGGTTTTTATATTTTTGAAATTTTACCTGAATTGATTCTGTTGATAGTTTTTGGTGGGGTTATTTTAGGTGAATGGTTTTACAATAAAAATATCATTGATGATATTGAGATTGGTGGTGATAATAAACAGTAATAATAATAATTACAATAACAACAATGATAATAATAGTAGTGATAAGTGTGGTCATAATTATCACAATTTAATTATTAAACTTAAAAATAAATCAAAATTTTTAGTATTATTAAAAACAACAACGTCATCCAAACGGACACTATAAAATAATAACAACAACGGTAATTCATAATAGATTAAAAAAAATTTAATTTTGGGGGGTTGTAGTCAAGAAGTTGCTGTTACTATATTTATATTTATAATATGCAATCTTATTCATTATAACAATTTTGGGTGATACAATTTTTATTTTATTTTTTTGCATATGATTCAATATGCTGTATGCTGTCGTGTGCTTTATCTTCTTCATTTTTTTTGTATAGAAGAAGCACATCATGACCAAACATATAAATTTACAAAGAATGAATGAAATCAAAAATGAAAAACAAATTATGTATATAAATGAATTAAATCATCATAAAGTCAATTTTTTATTTTTTATTAAAATTCTAAAAACGAAATGATTATCAAAGAATACAATATTTCTTACAACGAAATTCATGCTTCATATTCATCAGATCTTCAAACATATGCAAGTATATATATTGTATATATATGTATATAATTTTATATTAATAAAAAATAATTAATTGGTTTTTTTTTTTACAGATTTCTAAAAAAGAATTTGAAGAGACAATTAGAACATTTAATTTTTTTTATAAAAGTGATATATTTAATAGAGTATTAAATACTTTGTTAATTCTATTGATAACTTTTTATCTTCTATCGATTGTTTTATTAATTAAATTAAGAAAATTTATTATTGATGAACTTGTGATTATATTAATCTTGATAATAATAACTGGGATTTATTTTATGTCATATCGTTTGATTATTGCTAGAAGCTTTAATTTAGTAAGTAAATAATGATAATGATGATTATTATAATAAGTATTTCGTTGTAACGATGCTTTTATTAATATTTTATTAACTATTCTATGTAGAAATTTATGGGACTTGGAAACAAAATTAAAGATATAAACGAATTAAACGAATTGTATTGTTTAAAAAATATCAAATGGAAGATCGTAAAACATAAATCTTGTATGGTAAGAATAAAAATTTAATAATAAATCATAAATAGTGCTAAATCAGCCATGTTAACTAATAGTAAATATAATGTTTTTTCCGTGTATTATTTGTTAGCTACTTGTTTTAGAGATAATTACTGAAAATGATGATAATTTTCAAACTTCAAGAATTATAAGTTATAATGATGATGATGATAATAATAATTATGAAAATTATATTGAAAATAATGAATTAGTATTGATAAATATTATTAATGATGATGGTGATGGTGATGCTAATTTTAAGAATGTTGACGATGAATTTATTCAAAATGGAAGAAGAGAAGAATCATCTAATGACGATCATATATTAATTGAATTATAAATGTAAATATATATTTTTAGAAGAAATAATTTTCTTTAAAATCTTTAACAACTTCTCTTAATACTTGTCTTAAAAATGATACATGATAAGGTATTTCATTATAAGATGGAAGTTGTTCGATTCGTTTATTTGTTACTAGTTCTAAACTATCGTAATTTTTTGTAATTATTGCTGTATAATAATAATAGATGAGTATGATGATTAGAAAAGAACAATTATAAAATTATATATATTATATATGTATATTATAAATAAAATTATAAATAAGATTATAGATTATAAATAAATTATAACACTAGAAATAAATAAAGCACTTACATAATACTTGTTCTGGTGTAATAGCTTTGACATCGTTATTAATTTTCCATAATTCAATTTTATCATGAAAATGGTTAGAAATTATATTAATATTCTCCAATGTGTTATTATTATTGCTGTTGTTAGATTTAATCATTGTTACTATGAAATTAATTATTACTTCAATTAGTAAAGAATTATTTAATTCGCATACTCCTTCCACTCCCCTCTTTTCACCCCATTCTCATACCTAATCCATTTAAATTTTCAAATGTTTCTTTATTCCTAATTATTTCATAAAATAAATTATCATAGCTTAATGCCTCATTAAAAAATTGGTCACCATAAGAAATGCTCAGATTAATGATATCAATAACCAGCATTAATACTTCTTTGATTATAACTGATTTATCTTCAAAATAATCAATATTCGATTTGATAAATTTCAATAAATTTATTAATGAATTCCATAATTCAACCCAATGATAATCTATTAGAATATAATATTAGAATAATTGGTAAGATACGGTTATTACTTATTGATTGATTAATTGATTCGTAGATTAACTTACCTAATCTAATTTTATTTGTTTTTAATTGAAAGATGATTTTATGAATTATTCCTAATGTTAAACTACAAATTAATTAATTAATTAATTAATTACTGTATAAATACCACCATTTAATAATAAATATCGCTATAATTACCTGTATAAATCCGATTGTAATTTTCTTCTCATGTTATGAATTAAAAATCCAACACAAATATCTAAAATAAAACAAACAATTGGTCTTGATGATTTAACTTCTGGTAAAATAGGTTTTTTCTAAATTTATTATATAAATTTGTATTAATAAATAATCAATCAACCAGTCAACCAACCAGTCAATCGTCAATTAATCCCCAAAAATTGCGATACTTAACTTGTTTGCATAATCTAATTTTAAACAATTTTGTGTCTTCGAAGATAAACTTTGCATTTTTATCATCTTCGATAATTATGGTTAATATAAATAATGATAATTTAATATATTTAAATGTTCTTTGAGTGCGATTATGTTGAAATAAATACGACAGAAATGATAAGAAATCACAAAATAATTCTTGATGTTGTTGACTATCGTCGTTGTCATCGTCATTTTTATTATTACTTTTTTTATTATCTTTTTGGTTTTTAGAAATGAATTCAATAAATTTGTGATTATTATTAACTATATCAAAAAATATTAAAAGAATTGCAACATTCGAACTTGGCCTAAAATAATAAATAAATCAATAAGAAATCTAATTAATTAGATAAAGAACAATAATTATATAAAAAAATATTTTCTTACAAGTTAATAAATTCTTTATATGCTTCATTTTGTTGAATTTGATTGTTGTTATCATTAGCATTTTGCTGTGTATTATTATTTGTATTACTACTAGTAGTGCTGCTAACAGTATTAGTATTAGTGATAGTATTAGAAATAGTAGTGGCAATATTACTAGTAGTAGCAATAGTATTTGAAATAGTGCTAGTAATAGTGTTGGTGATAGGATTGTTCCAAGGCATGATCGAAATGTATGATAATACACTTGATACTGTTAATTTTTGAGTATTTTCATAGTCATCATCTTGGATTTCAATATACTGACTAAATAATCATCGTAATATTAGATTAAAAAATATTAATTAAAAATCCCATTATATTCTTCCTAATAATGACAATACTTACTTTCTACATTTACTACAAATTAATCCAATCACTTTGATCAATGCTCCAAATATTTTATCATCTTTAATTTCACTTATTTTAATTAAATAGGGGTTTTTAAATTCTCTTTTTTTATAATTTGCCAAAATTCCCAATAAAATTGCTGCATCATATGAAATATTTGAACTTTCTGATGATAATGATAAACTAATCAACTATTAAAAAAATTAAAAAAAAAATATGCTATTAAATATTATTATGTTTATTTTAAAGGTTTTTATCACTAATTTCACACCAATAATCATTCCGTTAATTAATTGATTAATTAGTTACCTGTAATAATGGATCAAATATATCATTTTTCATAAAATATTCATTAATAATATTTTGATTTATATTGTCATTTCCACAAACTAGAATTATAGCAAGTTTTAATGTTTGATTTCTAATTTCATCTATGAAATAATCATTTAAATAAGTTATAACCATGATTATTTTTATCAAAATTATTATTAATAGAAACATTGGCAAAATTTAATGATATTAAATCACCTGATTCTCCTTTAATCAATAAATATTTAATAGAAGTAATCAATTTCTAAAAAAAAAAATATTACATTAATAAATAATTTTTGCCAATTCTAATCATCAACCATGATAATAATATATAATACATTACTGAAAATATAATATTTGCATTATCTAATCCTGTTAATAAATTAATCACTTCAAAACTAAAATTATTGAATTTCTTTGAAAAAATTCCTTTTAAAATTATGCATAATGTCTATTTATGTGCAAAAAGAAAAATAATCAATAAAATTAATAAATTAATTTTAATAAACAATTTATTAAATTAATTAATTACTTCAATTGCATTGATTTTCCTCTGAGGTATTTTATCTTCTCTCATAGTTTCAATTGCATTTGAAAATATTTTCCCAATATTTATCTAAATATAAAAATATAATACATGCATCATAAACATAATTAATAATATGTACATTTAAAGATCAATAAATTTTTTTTAATATTTACCTTAATACTTAGTAAATGATCTTGAGAAAATTCAGAAAAACATTTTGAGAGATATGATGAATTCACTTTAAGTAAAAATAATTCATTCCAAAAATTAGCATTTCCTATTGATGGATCATTTCCCTAAACAACAACAACAGTAAATTTTTCTTTTTTTTTTAAATAGATTCTTCAATCTTCTCTCTTCTTTTCTTATATAATATATATAATTTATATGTAATCATATTTATTTACCTTGAAGAAATTTTCGTAAATTTCTATAAATTTTTCTTTTAATACTACGCTTCTTGATCCATGATTTACCATAATTATTGGTTTAATAGTAGGTGATAAAGGTGTTGTAGATTGCATTTTTAAATTGTTTAAAAAATTTTTCAATATAAGCCATAATTTAACTTTAAACCTCGTGTAATCAAAATATTGGCTGATGATTTAACTTTAAACCTCGTGTAATCAAAATATTGGCTGATGATTTTTCAATGGTCCTTAATATTATTGGCTAATGAAATCTGATTTGCAAAAAAAAAAAATAATAATAGTAATAATGATAGCGATATAGTGATAGTAATGAATCACCAGATGTAATATTTTGAAAAGAAACCAGAAAATACTTTATTGAATTTCTCCATACTCACATTACAATCGAAAGAATCAAAAGGAGAAAGCTTGTCGTAATGTTTTAGAAAAAGATACCCACCCGTAAATCTAGTTATGATCATATTAGCAATGGTGACAATTGTCGTAAGTTTGATAACGATGGCAACGATCGTGGTTATGACAGTTCTGATAGTAATAGCAATGATTTAATCCTAAAGGCGGTTATAGGAGCATTGGAAGGTAACTGACACTGCCAATGAATTGGTAGTTCCTAACAATCATAGCATCTTTGAACAACCAAGCATTGATAAAAAGTTTTAATTAAATTATATATCAACAAGTAATATCTGTTAGAGTTAGAATCCAGATAATTGCTTCAAATGTCATCCACCAGGCACAAAAGAAAAAACGGATAAAAAAATTTGAAATCTTAAATATTTAGTTAAACGAGGCAATATTGGAATGGCTCAATATATCGCATAGGACAGACATAAAACAATTTATCTTTTATCTTCTCATGTGACATTGTTCTTGAAATAAAGATAATATATTCGTATGAAATTACAAAGATCATCAGGCCAGCACGATCATCAATGCATCCTGTTATAGATAATTTGATTTGTTTATATTAAATTACATCCACAACTGCTTCCACAATTACAAATACAAAAGTAAAGGTACAAACCAATACACATGCTGCTACTTGTCTGTATAAAATTTCTACAGAGAAAACTTTACATTAATAACAATAATGGTTTAGGAAGGAGTTTGAGGAATAGTTGTGATCTCAACTATTCAATTATTAAAAGTAGCAATTATAGATTCACAAAAAAAAAAAGGAATAGTAAAATTAAAAATAGAAAGTAAAAGTAAAATGACTATGATTTGTTGCAAGAAATTTTATCCAAATGATTTTGATTTTGATTCTTGACACATCAAAGTTACCATATTAGTAATATAATTTAGATTTAAACAAAGTAGTAGTTACCAAAAAAATGAATCTCAACTGCGTTGTGTATATTTCATTTCTAAAGGTTCTCATAAGCTAGTGTCTTCAGACTACTCAAATGTGTATTCCTTTTTATTACACGGCACTGCTCCCAAGTCTTCCATTCTAAAAAATATTGAAAGTTGCAATTCAGAATTATCACTTAATGAATGAATAAATAGAGTGTTATCCAATAGTACTTTTAAAAAAGGAAATGGAGAGACAGACATTTACAAACCATGACCATTTGTCAAGAAGAAATTATTCTCATGACAATAAAATAGTAGTATTAATATGATATATATTAAATTTTTTTTTAGAATAAATTTGATTTTTATTATTAATAACACTAGTATGGATAACAACAGGAACGGTATTAGTTAAAGCACATACAATGATCTTCAATAAATGATATCAATATAATTCATTGCCTTTATTATTATTATCATTACAATGACAAGATTTATTTTTTGATTGCCTCCCTTTCTATCATTGACCACAAATAGTGACAATACCAAATATGGAAAGTGATGCAACAACATCAAGTCTTGGTCCATCATGGCAACAAGCATGCGAGCAAAGATTGGACATAAATTTTCATTTTTGTGTTATTGCATGTTGATCATTACTTATCACATACGCGTCATTATATGGGCATGAGCAATAGAAAAGGGGGGGTAAACGTCAAAATCACAATTTTGAGAAAATTGAAAAATATCTCAAACTTTATTAAGTTAGCATGATTACCAAGTTAAAATTAATTTACGTGATGAATTGCATGTATAAATTTGTCAACTCAAAACTATGATCTTTGTAATTTCTATTGTCAATCTCTTGTCTACTATTTTTTAAAAAAACTAACAGAAAATTTCTCAAAATTTTATTCAAGTTACGTAATATATATGTGGCAAAATTATGATTTTTGACGCTGACCCCCTTTCTATTGCCCATACCCCATATATATGTGTGTAATTAAAGCTTCAATTTTTCAATTTTAAAATAAACTATAAATTAAAATGAAATTTACAGCTAAACCTTGATAAGTCGAATTTATTATAATTTCTACTTTACTTGATAAACCGAACTTAATGGTTTGTACAAAATAATAAAAATGTAACTTTCTAAGTCAAATATGATCATAAACTGGTTTTAAAATTCGTCTTATTGATAAAATTCGGCTTAAAAATAATGTCGATCTACTTTCTATTTTAACCATGCCATGTTCTAATAAAAAGCACTAATATTGAAGTCGATAATGTTGAAATTGAAGTTGAAGTTGATATTGAATGAGAAAATCGTGAAGTTCAAAATTTAATCAACTAACTCCCATTTGATGATTCACTTTTAGCGGATGAGTATTTAAATATTTAGAATAACATGGTTGCAGATGAATTAGTAACGGAAGATGAGGATTAATTCAACCAACAGAAATAGATGAACAACAGGATGAAACCTTTATTCCAGAAATTTCTATTACAGATACGATAATGGAATTTTTTATTCATAGTAATAAGAATACTAGTGTTATCTTTCACCCGGGCCTCGGAAACATTACCAATGGCAAGTTCATTAGAATGCTGATCACGAAAAGGTCTTTTAGCTGAAGTCCCATTAAATCGCCCAATAAACCCTTTGTTATATGGGAACAAACAACTCTGATTCGAGCCCCAAATTTCTTCACGAGAACCTTGCATTCACCCAAAATTCGTTTTCCTGGTCCACTTGAAAATCCTAAGGCCACACAAAGAGATATTTGGGTTTGAGTACACATTCTTAGCAACATGCTTTGCTGTTTTTTCAGTCAGAAGATAGTGTCATTTATATCGACTAACACAATCAACAATTAAAGGTGCATATTCATAGATTTTACCTTTAATCTTACCCCAAGGCATGTAAAAAAGATCATCAGAATGAAGTGAATTAGGTTTTTTCACATTGTTGTAGGAGGGGCGAGGAATATACCCGGATCTAGGTGGATAGATCTGATATAACGCTTGATTAGACAGCCATTCACAAATATCGGTATATTGGAAGTTAAATACAGATTCTCTACAAGCATTAACAACTTTTTCAAGCGTCTTGTAATACGCTTGAGGCTTATAATAAAGCATCCTGAGAATCATTCCGTTTGGATCAATCACAATTTGTGCCTGTAAATCCATAATAATTAATCAAAGAGTATCATGGAAGAAATTATCCACACAAATTGAGAATTATGCAAGCAGTTGGCTGAAGATGATGAGATTATAAAACAAAAATCAGATCCCTATAACGAGATCTTGAGTACTGTAAATAGGAGATCAATCTTCTAGGCAATTCACTAATGTAGTTGTCATTTATTATTATTATTTTAAGATATTTACGTGCATGACATTGAAAAAATCTATTAATATTTATAAAAAATATATACTCATATATACATTCACAATAAAATAACAAAAAATATGAAATAATGGAACTAGAATACAAAAGAAAAACAAAAATTATTAAATTCGATTACTACAACTGTTATTATTTATTATTAATTCAAGTGGAAGTATTATCAGGCACTTGAGCAATCCAATTAGGAGGTTTAATACCAGTTTGATCTTGAATTGTTGATAAAAGTGGAGGTAAAGATTGAAATATGTTAGAGATTGGATTATTAAAAGATTGTGCAGACGATTCTCCACCAGTATTCCAAACAGTGATTTTAGGATTAAGACCTTGAACTGCTAAAGCATTTTCTTTGGCCAATTGTTGGAATGTATCACGTTGAATCATGATATATTGAATAGCTGATTGGGTATCGCCATCAAATGCTTGCATCAAATTTTTGACACCTTCAGCTTGAGAATTATATAAAGCTAATACACCTTCGGCCTCTTTTTGTTTCTTGTATAATTCGGCTTCGGCTTCTTTTTGAGCAGTGTACAATTTAGCATCAGAATTTGCCTTATTAGCTTCAAATTCGGCTTTAGCTTTAGAAACATATTGAACTCTAAGTCTTTCAGTCTCTGATAATAATCTACGTTCTTCAACTTCTTTTTGAAGTTCGGCTTCACGTTTCTTTGCAGCTTGTGCAGCTTCAATTTCTGCTATTTTCGTTTGTTTATTGTATTCTGCTTTTTTAGTGCTGAGATTCATTTCAGCTTGTGCAATAGCAACTTGACGCTCTTTTTCAACTAAAACTGTTTCAGCTTCAATCTTTGAAGTTTCTCTTCTCTACAAACAAATAAATAAAAATAGATATAAATAAATAAATATAAATAAATAAAATAAAATATTTTAAAACTTACCGTCGAACCTTCTCTGTCTTTGGCCCCCACATCCCCTTTATATTTAGCTTCAGCGACATCAACTTTGGCTTGATTTACAGCACCTTCATGAGTTTTCATACGCTATAAAAAATAAACGATATTTTTAAAAAAAGATTTATTATTTCTAATAATTAAAAGGAAAAAAGTAAGCAATTTACCATGTAGGCAAAATATTCAGATCCTTGGGTGTCTTGTAATTGTTTAACATTAGCATTATAAATAAATAAACCGAATTGATCCAATTCAGCTTGTACACTTTTAATGACTTCTTCTTTAAATCCTTTTCTTTCGCGAAAAATTTCTTCCATAGTCATAGCTGCAGCAATCACACGAGTTTCACCTTCAATGATACCTCTAACTAAATCTTTGACGTGATCTGAACTTTTATCATGTGCTGCCAATAATTTAGCATAACGTTCAAGGCTTGATTTTTCATCTTTTGGACTATATAACATATATATATAAATATATTTAATGACTTATTTTTTTGTTTTTCGTCAATTATTGAAAATTATCGAAAATTACCCGATAGTAAAAACAGCAGGAAGATTGAATTCCAATTTTTCGGCAGTCATAGCCTGAAGTTGTAAAGTGTAATTTGCGGGAGTGATGTCAAAAAACATGGATCTTTGATTAGGGAATATCCATGCTTTTTTACATAATTTGACATCATCGATAAAAGCACCAGTTTTTACCAAATATTGGTTTGGATCGCTGTATATATACATAGATATTATTATTTTATTAGGAAAATTATAATTAATTAGAAATTAATTTAATACCTGATTCTATACATGATGATAAATTATTATAATTAAGCGTGGATGATTGATTATGTGGGAGACGACGTGTAGTTAAATCTTGAATTCTTAATATTAAATTCAATATTTAAATTTGAAGAAATTGATTTTTTTTTTGTTCAAAGGAAGAAATTTTGCGTTTTTAAGTGAAATTTGACTTCAAAAAAGTAAATTAGACAATGGTGAATGAAGCTTCCACAAGGAAAATATTATTTCATTTCTATTTCTATATTAATATTGTATTCCATATTGTGATCGAAAGAACATTCTAGTACTAGTACTAGTGTTTGGATAAATTCAGCGCGGTAGTTTCCAAATTGGTTAAATGGCTTCTAAATTTGTACTAGTTACACAACGAAATTTCCGTTATTTGTTATGTAATAGTAATAGTAATGGAAATGATGGAAATCGGGATCAACTTTGAGCAGAAAACTTCCATACTAATATCTATCTTTGGTCTGGAAAATTTAGTTTGATCGTCCAACAAGGAACTTTGAATACCTATTACTACTATTATTATTATAGTAATAGCGTCATTTGAGATAACCAATAAAAAATTATTTTTCAAAGTTTGGATAATAATATTAGGTATTGATTATGAAACCATGTCGATTGTAACACGTTAAAAACATTACATTCTAAGCAGCAGCTTTAAATGAATATTCTACCGTTTACCAAAATCGAAATTCTTCATTTTATATACACAGTCATTTAATTTTCCTTAGAAGGTAAATTGTTGTTGTTGTTGTTATTGTTGTTGTTGTTGTTGTTGTTGTTATTGTTGTTGTTGTTGTTGTTGTTGTTGTTGTTGTTGTTGTTATTGTTGTTGTTCCGATATTAATTTATAAAAAATCAATTCTTTGAATGAACGAATACCTCATGACTTTACTATTTATATGTCAAGTAAACATAATCAAGTGACATTTTATTTATTATTTAATTCAGTAACACCGGACGAAGAACTTAATTGTATAATAATAAATGACTCGCATGAATATATCTATTTACCGTCATTATCAGTTTCCAATCCTCTTTCTTTAACAAAAAATCAGAAATGAAGGAAATCTATCTACCAAATTTAAAATTTCTGCTACAAAAAGATAATTTAGAAAAATCAATAATTTCTAAACCAGGCATGAAAAAATTGTAGCAAAACAAGTTGCAAATGATCAAAATCTTGGTTTTGTAGAGCTTCACGTTATAATTGTCTAATTTATCTTATGTTTGTTGCTTGTATAATTTAGTTTCTAAAATGTTTTGTATAATATTATCTATTAATTAATGCCATGACATGTTATCATCGTGGGTTAAATACAAGAATTAAGAGCAACTTATATAATTATCGGAAGGATCAAGTAACTGGGTGTCCCACATCATATGAACGGGACACATAATAATAAGAAAATATGAATTATTAGGAAAATCAGGTAAAATAGTGACACTTGTCTCGTTTTTTTAATAATAAAATCTGTTACGAACAAAAATGTTTTTATATTAACTTTAATAATATTATTTTCAGTAGAGATTGGCATCATTAACCGTTTAACGTCTAATCCGATGATATCATCAATATTGTGAGCTAAAAACCTTGATATTGGAGAAATCAAATCATATTTTTACTGATATTTATTTCTTGATCTAAATAATTATGTGACTTCCAAATTGCTTTGCTAAAAAAAAAATATATTATCATAAATGCACTTGGTGACAAAAGTTTGCGTCCAAAATTTCTTTTGAGAATATGTTAGTGACATTAAAATTTGAAGTTTTGTCATAAAAAAAAGATAAAAATAACAAATAAAAACCGAAAAATAACGTAATGTTGATAGATAGAGAACTTATTTTTTATTTCAATAAAAATATTATTTAATATCTAGTTGGCCAGCCGATTTTTGACAATGCAATATCCAACCCTTCAGGGCATACTGCCAACTAAATTTAAATTCGCAGTTCTTTCACATTTTTTAAAATTGTTTTAAAAACAAACTTTTTTGCTATTTTTACATCATTTTTTATTTTTTATTTTTTATGACAAAGCTTCAAAATTTAATGTCACGAACATATTCTCAAGGACAAGAGCTTTCGAATGATATAAAGATCACAATATTTTAATTAGTATAGTTTTGAAATAAATTCAGAAGAAATTTTGGACGCAAACTTTTGTCACCAAGTGTTGCCGAATTCTTCTTTAAGTTGGTCAGTTTTATGCATTTCTCTTTGGGAAGAGAAAAAGCGGGAACTGACGAAGAGAAGTTTAATGCCTTAGTCGAAGAGAAGAAAATAAGAGAAACATTAGTTGTTGATAATCCAGAAAAATACAAGCCGTTCGGATAAATGAAGAGATAAAAAACCAAGAAATTGACAAAGAATATTTTTTTTATTTTTTCAGATTCACCTCGGAATCTGGCGGGTTAACCGTGCTTAGAGTGAAAGTGGCGATAATCACCGTTGTTTTTAATAACTAATAACAGCACTTATCCGTCTCTTTCATCTCGATATTGTTCTTTGCTCGTGCTTCTGAAGACTTTTTTTTTTTTAAAAAATATGAAGTGACGCGTTAAAAAAACTATTTCCCCAAATTTTGTTCCTTTAATTTTACTTTTTAAATGGAGGCTTTTGCTTTCAGATTTTAGGTTTGGTATATATATATTGATAATATGTGAAGAAAAATCTGTAATGACAAGAATTTAATTATAGTCTGATATGATAAGGTTCGACTGTACATGTTCCAAATTAAATTTAAATAATAAGCTAATGTAGCTAAAAGAAAAAAAGTAATTTAAATCATAGCTACACAAAATTTATGCAAATGGCTTTCTATACCATATATTTATATATATATTAATATGGAAATTTGTATACGTTTGTAAATCATATTAATATGGTTTATTATGCATCTTCTTCGTTGTATAAGATGCAATGAATAGCCTTTACTCCAAATACATTGCTTGATCTTTATCTTCTAATGAATCATACATAAGAACAATTTCCCGGGGAAACTTTTCCCATGCACTAGGATCAAAAAATATAAATGTTCCACGTTCAAATACTTGAGATTTGTTAAATGGTTCAGCTCCTTGTTCTTTCGTTAACCAAAGTTTCAAATCTTTATGAAATCTCCAATTTCGATTAAATCTAATTATAAAAATTATCTGTTTTATTAAAAAATTTTTTTCCAAAATAAAATTTAAAAAATTAATAAATAATATTGATAATAATTACTAACAATTCATATGCAGCAGCTTCCTGTAAAAAATCTTTTGGCATACTATAAAAAATATAAAATAATGTCTCATCAGAAAATGATTTTATTTTTTGTGGTGCAGGTGGTGGTGGTTGTACATTATAGCATGTAGGAAGATGATACTCGGGTTCAATAAATCCAATAGCTTGATTATTATCTGCCCATGGCGAACTAAACGTGGCATAAAGTGGACTATATAAAATAATATATTACTTATTAAGAATACTTTCTTATTATGTATAATAATTCTAATTATTTTAATAATAATAATAATAATATAAGTACATACTCTGGTGAATTTAAATTTAAACCTAGTGATGTTAAATCACTGCCCAATGATAACATGTTTAAATCAGGATCTGTCATCCGTATTACACTTAATAGTCCAAGTAATCCATATCCATCGATTGATGTCGTTACAGATGTTGATGTTGTCGAATTCATAGATTGTCCACTTGGTACAACTATCCCATTACTATTATTGCTATTAGTATTATTGTTACTACTAGTATTATTGATGTTGTTGCTGATATCTCCACCTATTACCATGTTCGATTGTAAATTCGGTATACCTGACGATAATGATGACGGCGGGAATGGCCCAGAGTTAGGTAAGCTTGTTGATATCGTTGTCGATGACGACGAAGTTGTTGATGAAGCGGATGGTGTTGTTGTCGAGGAATAAGTTAATGATGGAGTTTCAGGTACGTTTATCGAGTACGCATTAGGTACACCAGAAGAAGCTAATGGTTGTATCATTGATACATTGCCTCCTACTTTCGTAGAATAATTCTAAATTTTATTAAATCAAAAATTCAATGTTTTTACATGTATATATATATATTTTATATAATATTTTAATATATATATATACACATATTTTTCAAGTGTAATATACACACCTTTTTATCTTGTTCTGAAGACGACCCTAATCCACTTGAATTCATTTGTTGTTGTTGTTGTTGTTGTTGTTGTTGTTGTTGTTGTTGTTGTTGCTGCTGCTGCTGCTGCTGCTGCTGTTGCTGCTGAGGTATATTATTCGATGACGTGTTCATATTGGTAGTAGTATTGTTGGACGTAATACTACTACTATTACTGCTACTGCTACCTAAAGCAGGAAATTCAGATAGATCTAATATATCATTTTGCTGATGATGATGTAGTTGTTGTTGCTGAGGATGTAGAGTATGTATTGCATTCTGATATTGTGTAAAAGGTAATTGTTGTTGTCTCGATGTTGTAATACTTGGTGTTGAACCTAACGAACCTGGTGTATAATTCCATGATGCTACATTATTACTACCTATATAAATTATATAATAATAATAATATACATATTAGATAGATAGATAAATATAAATTCAAAATAAATGATTTATTTTCTAAACCTTTGATCTTCTAAAAAATGGATAAATTGTAATAATTAAATAGATCGAATGGTTTGAAAATTAATTAAACAATTCATACCAATTCTTCCATTAACCTTCATCATTGGCGTTGCTCCAACTGTTCTTTGAGACATCGAAGATGATAAATATGCAGAATTCATGGGTCCTGGACGGTTAGCTTGTTGAGCCGGGTTTGGTACTAAAATAATAATAATATATCATTGAATTCTCTTTTACTGGACAAATAAATTTTATTTAATAACAGTAATAATAATAATTCTTCTGTTTAAAGGATAATAATTTATTTCTTAATTTGGTTTCCTCAAAAATTACAAAGAATTCAAACCTGTTCGATTCATTAAACTACCACCTGGTTGTGGACCAAACCGATTAGGATTATTGATTGTTTTGACGATGTTACTGTTGGTAGGCATTTTTAGATAAAAACTCCCTAAATAATGAATAATAATATATATTATTATGTTTAAATACTACAAATTCACTGATTTATTTATTTTTAAAAATTTGTTGTTCTGGTCAACCTAAATATTAAAATAGATTTAGGTTTATAAACAAAAAAAATAATATAATAAAAAAATAATTACTTTGATTATATTTAAATATATGTATTATTTTATTATTTTAATAAAAAATCAACCAACTTTTTTTATTTATCACAAATTATAACTTATATGAAAAACATAAATTTTTTTTTCCAAGTCAATAATATTTAAAATTTTTTTTGTGCAATTCTGTAATTTTGAATTAGTTTTATTTGTAGCACGATGCAATAATAAAAGTCACACCGGAAAATTGTTTGTGATTGGACAAAAATGATCAACAGCGTTTTTTATTTCTTTTAACATGCTTCTTTCTTCTTCCTTATTATATACATGTTGTATTGAGATTATGTGAATGAAATCAAATATGGAGGTGTTTGGGTGCAAAATTCTTTTTGATTGGCTGGTTTAAATTTCATATTATTAAAATAACAAGATCTGCTCGTTATTAAATTTCATAATAAGATGGCCACTATTAAAGAGAATTAGTACGAGCAGGGAATAAATTAAAAAGATATGCAGACAAATTGGGAAGATTATAGATGACGTGAAAGTCCTTTCTGGTTCTATTTTTATCAGCTTTAAACATTATTAAAGAAAATCAATTCCATTATGTTCCTATCTTATTCAACTCCACATATTTCAAACAAAAACGCTGAAGAGTTTATTATGCGTGAAGTTATATATATAAGATTTAAATTTGTTGAGCATACAGAGAATTGATTGATACATAAGATATTGGAAATTATCACATAAATACAGCATATTCACAAAAAACTTTTCGGTGTTCCAATAATAGGTGTTGTATGACTAGATTTTTAAATAAAGTTGCTCAGTGGATGAGAGCCCAAAATACCGCGGCAATGAAGCTTCTGGTGGTCGGAAAGATGCGTTAAATGGATATTGTTCATTCTATTTATTAACTTTTTTTCCTTCTTTGCTCAAAACTTTTATTTAACTGCTTGCAGAAAATGATCCAGTGTTCAACTTGAGCAGAGTTGGAAATTTTATCCAATTGGACATAATAATATACGACCGTCCAATTTCAACACTGTTGTTGAGATAACAACAATCAACTTAACTGAGAACAGTTTTCTGTAGAATTAATCATAGTATATGTGGTTTGTATTGGTTCAAATGATACTACTTTGAATATTATTCAATGATTGAACAAGCGTAATATGCACAATTCATATACAATTTTTAGGACGTTGTGAAGTGTATTAATACTCAAACAGTCCAGTAATCCGAGAAGCTATAATTATACTTTATGCATCTTACATATATATGTGGAGCATGCTCCAACAAAACCAGACAAAGCGAATATTGGTATTACCAAGTATTTCAGGGATCAATATTATTTATTTAATATCACAATTACATTACCAATGATATTTGTCAAGACAAAAATAGTTAATATAAAGTTAATTTACATTAGGCCTACTATGGAACCGGAGAATTATTAGAAGTATTTTAAAAAAGGAACAATGTGAAAAAATTGCTCCTTATATTTTCAAAATAAATGAAAATCACCTATGAAATTTACCAAGAAGAAAGAAAAATAATAAATGTTAGAAAAAGAAAGCAGCATGAAGATGCATTATTACCTAATAAAAAGCAAAAATCTTTAAAAGGAGAATAACTACCATTTTTTTTGATAGTTGGAATGAATTTCAATTATTCAGAGAAAAATTACTTTCTTATTTTTAATCAAGGTCGTTTCTTAGTTTCTTTAACTTCAATTTGAACAATTTGACCATTCTTCTAGTTGCTTAATTTTTTTCTTCTAAACTCTTTATCTTATACAATAACTCTTGTTTCTGTTTTTTACTTCATTCTTCAGATTTTTCCTGAAACTTGGCTAGTAATATCTTTGTATTCATCTTTCACAAATGGGTGAATATTCTGGTAAAGATATTCTTGTCTTTTATAGTCCAAAGGAAGTGGTGTTAATACTAAAATGGATAAAGCTCTAATTTCTTCCAAAATATCTGTTTTCTTGATTTTCAATAAATTGAATTCAGCTAAAGGTCCATTAGCAGCTTCTTGAACCTTTACTGTACCAAGATTAGATGCTTCAAAAAGAAAATGTTGATATTTCTGTATACTTGGTAATTTCTTAAAATGAATTCCCAAAATTGCTTTAATATCTAAGTATTGGAAACCTTTTCCACCTTCATAACATTGAGCTTTATTTAATCCAGCTCAACCACATGATCTAGACAATCTACTCTTGTTCTTCTGTAGAGTTTTTTAATCATGCCAAAATTACCCCTCAAAATGATCAAAAATCGTGTAACTT